AGCTCACAGTCAATCACACATAAAATCTCTCCAGCACACATCCAATCACATAAAATCTCTTCAGCACACATTCAATCACACATAAAATCTCTTCAGCACACATTCAGTCGGCAAAACATGAAATGACATTAAGACACATAATCAGAGTTACTACGTTGTGAACGCTGTTTGACATGGTAACGCGTGGACTGTGACAATGTAAATTGCTGAGGCTGAACACAAAGCCAACTGTGTATCAGATGGTGATCTTCTGGGTGTGATACTGTGTGGCGTTGAAGACGGATACCGACGTTTCGAAGGAACATGCTGTATTCAGCTTCGGGGTTGAACACGTTTCAACTCTAAAGATAGAGGCAAAATGGTCATACGAAACGTTGATATCCACCGATAAGAGTGCACAGTGTCACAACTCAGAAGACCACATCGGAAAAATCACCGCAGTGAGGACATCGCACCTTGTAACATCGCCTGTGTCCGTATATCATTACTTGAACAGCCTATTCTACAGCTGTTTAATCAGCCACTTCACGAAAGAAGCAATAATGAACAGGTAAATAATCATACATGATGACATCCTGAAAAAAAAACATATTACTTTATGAGTGTGTTTATAGACGCGTCAGTGGCTATGACTATTTGTACCTGGGTTTAAGCAAACTTCATCATTACTTACTAAACCCGATGTGTCATGGAATAAAATTAAACAACTTTCAATCTGTAATTATCTGACTAAAACGTTAAAGAATGTAAAAGAAAATTAAAGCAAGTATTAATTTTAAAGCCTATTTGTAAATTAGGCTATATAAAGGCCAGTGATATCTAAAAAAAATAGTAAGAATTACTCAAAGACACCCAGTTCAATAAACTTGTCTACAGCACAAAATATTATATTACTGTAACATTTATATTAATAAAATACACCATATCATTATGATACGAAGATTATTAAGTTATCTTTGTCTTCTTTCTTCTTATTTCTTTTTGTATTCCTTGTATCTTTATTTCGTTCTTCCTTTCCTTCCTAATTCCTTCCCTCCCTTTCACTGTTTATTTCTTATATTTCTTCATTCTTTCGTGTTTTATTTCAATCTCCCTTCAATTAGTTTTCATTTTGTACATATATATATAACCACCGTCTCAAATGCATCACTTTCATATACTTTATTACGATGTGTTTCGTCCTCACACGGCCATCATCAGGTGTATACGCTCTTGCTAAAATAGTTGTACTGTCATCCTAGTATGTCGTGTGAACGCGTTATATTTTATTTTAGAATCATTAAGAATTCATAAAATTGCTGACTCAGCCGCACTACATTTGGTTATTAAGTGTGAGTTCGTCTCTTCTCTGTATGTACACATATACTCGTAAAACAGACCAACACTACAGGGAGTTCATATCTATAGACCATGAGGTTCCTTGGAGAATATTAAGTCGCAATTATGGAAAATAGACTTTGTTTCCCCACATTATCCAATAATAATCGTCTCTAACGCAAATATATACGTCGGCTGAACTTTTATTGAGGCACGACTTCGTCTCAGTGTTTATCAACGAATCGTGTGATCGAGGCTGCAGTAGTGAATATCCATACCGTGCTCCCAATTTCATTCAATTTCAGTGATCACCCAATAAGGGCTGGACAATCTAAAAAATCTGGGGAGGGGGTCGATTCTCGGCAGGGGCAAGAGATGTTTCTCTCTCCACGGCATCTAGACCAGCTGTGGGACTCACCAAATCTGCAATTCAGTGGGTAAAAATAAAGTTTTCTCTGTGCTTAATTAAGTACTCCGCCATGAAAACCTGTGGGGAGTGGAGGTATAGCTCCACCATTCCTGACCTCGGCACTAGACAGAGGTGAGCGGTCAGCTTCACACCCCGGACGCTTTACCCCAGGCAGAGAGCCCCTGGTGACCACTGGATAAGAGACGGGACGGGCTCCAGAGCCGGTCTAGACGCTGTAGAAAAAAGAGAAAAATCCCTTGTCTATACCAGTGATCGAACCCCGGCCGTCTAGCCCGTAGCCCGTCGCTATACAGACTCTTATGCAATGGGTAGCGAGGGTGAAGTGGCCGGGATGTAAAACTGACCTATTCCACTACCTGCAGCTGTGCTTTCAGTCACCACACGTCTTCATGACGGAGTCCTCGTCAGAGCTCAAGGACAATTCTAACGAGAAAATTAATTGTCAGTCAAATTTTATCAAGGGAAGGACCTGAGGTTCTCAGGGCGGTGGTCATGGAGAGTTATCTTCTGGGATATATCGTCATGCAGAGCGCTGAAAGTGTCGACGTTTCGGAAAAATATGTCCGCCCTACCTTCAGGTTCGAAGAAACCAGCATGAAGCAGGCAGCATTTCCGAAACGTCGGTCAACTTTCAAATGAATATACGGCGTTATATTCCAGGAGATAGGGCTCTTATCTAGAAAAAAATTAACGTGTTCACGGGGATATCGAGTAGTGAATTACATTAGCGCGATTTGAGGACACTCTGCATACCCGCTTAATTAATGTGCTTGCGCCACTACCGACAAACTCACGTAGTTTCTGACTGCTCTAAGGTTAGAATAGCAAGCTTCCATCCAAGGATATCTACCGACTATCTAAAACAGTGTCTACGACCCTTTAAGGCAAAAGGGCATTTTTTGGTAACATTCTTAAAAAACGATTTATTGAAAGTCATATTACATTAAGTTTCCCAGCTTGAACCACGAAAACATTTTACACCAGCCTAGTCTGCTCTTATTTATATACTTTTTATTGTTTAATTTGTACAATATCTACAATAATATACATATTTTTTTTTTGTATACAGGAATTCATATAACTTAACAATTAGGATTAATTTATAATAATTAGGTTATAATCACATTCAAGAAACATGATGATCTAATTATTTACAGGTACACATTAAATACAGCAGCCATGAATCACTTAAAAATATGCTACTCCTAAGCAACTTGCAAGCCACAGTTGCCGATACCTGGTCTGAAAATTCATAGCTTTGGAAGTAAATTATGAGTTGCAACAGGACAACCTAATCCCTGACAGACAAATAATTTATTAATGGAGAAATAGTGTACATGAAGACAAGCCCTTCAACACTAATGTTCAATTTACTAACCCAGCCTAGTGACAGTACAACACAGGGCCCTAACCATTAAGTACAAGCTGGTGATAATTCATCGCCACGGTACAGTGCTAATCGCATAGCTGTAATCCGGACATGAAAGTTAATGTTTGTGGCCATGAAAACTTTATCTGAAGTCAATATTTTAACATTTACTATTAAACTATTGCATTGCATATCCAGTGTGTCTGGCCTCACATCTTTCTTGCCCATTGAGGGAAGATTGCATTCATCCAAACAGTGTCAAGATTTGGTGTTCACACATGTGGATCACAGCACATGCTGGGAGCTGTTACCTATGGCTGTCAGATTATACATTTTACTTCATTTCTGACATGACACTTCATGCATTATATTGCTTCACTTAATGAACATTGTTTCTCTCTGTTTATGCAGTGCTTTCCGGGAAACTCAGATAAACTGGAACTTATAATGTACACATTTATGAGAAGAGTGGGTTAGAACATCACATATTTTGTCGTGATAGTAAACAACCTTGCTGATGCAATATATTGTAGTATGTAAAACTGCGGCTATGCAATGATCATGAGAGGCAACATGCGTTGCTTGGTAACAGCCAGTAAACATGCAATACCTGGGCTATCACTAGGCAAATGCTCAGTAAATGGGTTCCTGTGGTAACAGACAAGGTATTATTAGACTATAACAAAAAAATCGGTGTTTCCTATGTCATTTGTGCCAAAATGTTACAAACAGGGTCAGCTGAGAGTAAAGTAAAATAGCTGGTGAGTCAGAGTTCGGTTATCCGTTGAAAGTCAGCCTGAGAAGAGAAGACTAGGAAGTTGGTGTGAAATGTCTGCCAGCCTGGGGCCCACTTAGTTGAGTTGTCAGCTGACAAAGAGTTCTGCATGGGTGGCTGTGAAAGATGACCTGAGTGCGAGAAGCTGTTGCCAGGAAACAGCTAGTGGAGACATATATTGGAGGACTATGCTTTCTGTGGGATTGTGGTCTGGATGTTGAACAATCTTGCAACTGAACAGTGATGTGGCTATGTTATTGCAAAAGGGACTCACTCACACACTCATGGAGTTGAGCCCTTCTTGAGAAGTCACTAATTGTGCAGCTATTCAAGAACTTCCCAGCATTTTATGGAAACCAAAGGTTCATTTCCATGTTCACAAGACCCTCCACTGGTCCCTATCCTGAGCCAGATCAATCTAATCCATACCATCCCATCGTGTCTAAGATCCATTTTAATATTGCCCACCCACCTCACTGCAAACCTTAAGACAATAAAGTAATTTATGCAAGGCACTTATCAGGTTCAGTCAACATGAGAAAATTGGAAACTGACAAGAAAAACTGTGGAGATACCCATGAAGACATTAAGCTAAGAAAGAAAAGAAAGCAAAACTCCAAGTCATCCAGACTGGCTCTGGGACCCACCCAGCCTCCTATCCGATAGGTACCAGAGGATCGTTCCACGGGGTGTGAAGCTGATCACTTACGTCAAACTAGTGCAGAGGTCAAGAAAACATGGGTCTATACATCCACTACCCCACTGTCTTCAAAGCATAGTGCTTAATTAGTTATGGACAGGGAGAACTTTACCTCTTTTTACCTTTACCATTTATCGCTAGCAACTTCTATGGAAGAAAATGTGGCCAAAAGCTTTCTGATAGTATATTCCTTCCTCACACAGCTAATGACATGACTGTTTTAGCATTCATAGGGGGATGCTACAGAAACAGGGCATGATACAATCACTTCCTGCTCAATGTCCTTTTGGCCAATTGTGATTAACTGTTCTCTGATGTCATCTTTCACACATGCGGATGCAATGTGTGAAATATACTGGGATTTCTTTTTCACAGCACAAAAAATGCATGCATGAATTATGCAATAAAATATGGTACTTAATAACAGCATCTTATTAGAGGCCTGATTCCAGGAAACATTCATGCATATGACCACACATAGGTTACTATGATTCAAAATCATTTACAAAATCAAGGATCATCAAGAAATCATGCAATGGAACTGTCTGTTCAATAATCAGCCACCAGATACTTTCTATGTTTTATTTGGTGTAAACAAATATAATTAGCTGTACTACAATAAAGAATTCACTTGCAGATTAACAAAGGTTTTCACTCTTCTATAACTGATAAGTAAGCAAACAGTCCAGTAGCTAACTGGGCTCATCTATCCCAAGGTGTTGGTATACTTTGGTGACAAGCTCAGCCTTCTTCATCCTGTTCACTTCGATACCTTGTTCCTGCAGGTAAGCTTTTAAGTCATTCACCTTTAGCTTCTCCACCTAAAACAATAAATATAAATAAAGTCTGTAATTATCAGTGCTGACTATAATAAGTTTGCTGGAATTATATCCTGATAACATTTTGTTATATGAGAAGCCTTGCCAACTTTGTGGGTGGATGCAATGTGCCTCACCTTCCCATTGGTCGCAATATCTCTCATATCCCCCACAGCTTCAGTTTTTACAGCTTTCTTTGGCTTATCAGCGGCTGGATCTGCGACCCTCTTCCTAGCACCAGAGGCGTTTGATTTCCCGCCAGGCACATAACCACCAACATAGACAGAGTCTAGAAACTCCTGAGCCAATGACTCTAGCTTGCTTGCCATATATTCATGGTCTGGAACTAACACCAAAAGGTAAATGCGCCTTTGCTCATTTTATAATCAGTAGGAATGATACACACAAGGCAAGTACGAATACAATTGGAACAAATAAGCAGCTGAACAAAACAGCAAAAATAAAAGAAAAGATAATTACAATTCCTACCAGGAACAAATGTGTAAACACAATCTACCAGAATTACAAAAGGATACACGCTTCCCCTCTTGCTCCACAGCCCTCTAAAAATGACATCTTTTGTGAACCTTGCCCATTCTTCCCTCATAATCTGCTTTTGCTCCACCTCCATTTTTGTTACCATAAGAAGTAGATACAGATGAGAGAGGACCATATATTTTACAAAGTGAGGTGAAAAAAGCTATCAAGGACATGAGGAATGGAAAGGCTACAGGAGAGGATGATGTACCTGGATATGTGCTTAAGTTACTGGGAGAAGGTGGTTTGAAGACACTGACAAAACTAATAAACACCATATATGAAACTGGGGAGTGGCCCAAGGACTTTACAGAAGTGACAATGATTGCCTTAAAGAAAAAGACAAAAGCTACAAAACGCAGTGACCATCGCACAATAAGCCTTGTGGCACATACAGCAAAGATAATAGCAAAGTACTTAAAAGAAGAATTGAAAGGAAAATAGAGGATATACTTGGAGAAGATCGGTTTGGATTTAGAAGAGGAAAAGGAGCAAGGGATGCAATTGGGATGATGAGTATACCAGAACGAACTTTGTAGATAGATGAAGAACTGTGCGCTTGCTTTATAGACTGGCAGAAGGCATCTGACTGTGTAAACTGGAATAAATTAATGCAGATCCTAAAGGAAACAGGTATCGATTGGCATGAAAGAAGATTGGTAAATTGTACATGGATCAGAAAGTTAGAGCGCGACTGGACAGAGGGGAGACAAGATTGGAAGAGGAGTTTGACAAGGATGATGTTTATCACCAATTCTGTTCAACTTGTACAGCAAATGCCTTACCAAGGAAGCTCTGGATGGGCTTGGAGACTTCAAATTAGGAGGGCAAATTATTCAAACTGTGAAATATGCAGATGACCTTGTGTTAATGGCTAAGGAAGAAACTGTGTTACAGGGTATGATTGATAGACTAATCGAAATTGGAAGGTGCTATGGCATGGAAATGAATGTGGAAAAAACAAAAGTAATGAAAATTTTGAGACAACCAACCCCAGTCACAATAAAAATACACCAAAAACAACTGGAGAATGTGAAATGTTTTAATTTTTGGGTAGCTTGTTAACAGATGATGGAAGGTGTACTTGTGAAACTAAATCTAGGATTGCCATGGCAAAAGCTGCATTTAGCAAGAAGAATCTTTTTACCAGCAAATTGGACTTAAATTTGAGAAAGAAACTAGTGAAATGCTACATTTGGAGCATGGCTTTGTATGGGGCTGAAACTTGGACACTTAGGGCAGTAGATCAGAAACACCTGGAAAGCTTCAAAATGTGGTCTTGGAGAAGGATAGAGATCAGTTGGACCGATTATGTGAGAAATGGAGAAGTGTTATTTTGAGTCGGTGAGCAGAGGAATATCCTACACGAAATAAGAAAACGGAAGGCTAATTGGATTGCTCATACCTTACGCAGTAATTGCCTTCTAAAAGAAGTTATTGAAGGAAAGACAGAGGGGCGGATAGAAGTGACCAGAAGACGAGGAAGAAGACACAAGAAGATGCTGGATGACCTTGGGGACAGAAGAGGATATTCTCATTTGAAGGAGAAAGCTCTAGATCGCATTAAGTGGGGGAACTGTTTTGGAAGAGACTGTGGACCTGTCGTCTTGACAGATTACAGATGAATGAATGAAATTATCTTCTACATCTAACTCACTGTCCACATACATTTCCATAGTTGTTTTCTGGCATCCACTGTTAGATTTCATAATATATGTCAATTTCTGAGGTGAAGTTGTTAGCATCATGCCAATCTGGAGCGCCAGGGCTACTTCTACCTTTTGTTAGGCTCTCATCTCACTACCCTTCAACCCCTCCAGCTTGGTTGAACCTACCACAAAATTATGCCCCCCTAACACAGCTCAGGTTATCAGGGCTCTACATTAATGTAGAAGCCCAGGGAGAGGATATCCAAAAGACAGTACAGACATTTCATGGTCACAATTTAAACAGTCTCGCAGATACTTTAGAGAACAGACACACAGATAAAGCTACATTTCTTCCCTATGAAATAACAGCTAAATCAATACAAAAAAAATACCTGTAACATCTTTAACTTCTATTCGTTCATTATAGTCCAGGGCCAAAGCCTCAATGTTTCGCCAATGAGTCTGTAATTTTGGGTTATCGAAGTTGTATGGTGTGTATGGAAAACGAAGTTTCTTTACCACTGCCTTGGCTTTTGCGATTTGCTCTGCATCTGCTTTTACTGTAGATTCAGTATTCAAAGTCCGAATATCATCTGTATGAATAAATATAAAAACAATCAATATTAATATTATTCACCATAATCTCCACCACACCACCATCAATTATTTTCCGAGTGTAATATCTTGAAAGCCTGTTACAGATTTGCATATAAGAGATTTCCAGGTTTTTTAGGCAATCTTTCAATGTGTTGCTACTTCATGAATTCTGTCACAGTTTAACCCTTCAGCTTACCACACACTGATTTCAGAACATTAATGAATGTAATGAAAACATGAATTGTATACATAATTATTGGTTTTTCAGACATTATCCATCATCCTGCTTTTATAAAAAAATTAAAACTGGACTTTGCTTCTGTCCTCGGGTAAAAGCCTAGTTTTTAAATAATAACAGAATGATGGATATTGTCCAAAATGTCAATAATTGTATTAATATACCATCATCACAAACATTTACATCTTATAGGCATTTTATATCTTGAGAAATATATTCCAAATAGTATGGATATACATCATCCATAACCTCTAAAAGAAGAGCAGCAATGATTTTACAGACCAACAATTTTCAGAATTCTCTCACTGCAGTTTCTTCCTAAGCTATATAATACTGTGGTAGCAGAACCCAAAGGGTCAACATTGCTAATACCAAAGACTGCAACGGAACCAAATCTTAAACCAGTTTTATCCATCCCAAATCCCTGCAGTGTGTGTCTCTCTCTCTCTCAATCCTAATCATCAGTTGACTTGCATAAATCACAAGTTCCTCATTGTACTGTTGCGACTTAGTGACTAGACATGGTGTTTGGACCAGTAACTGGATTTCCTGGGTTTCTTATAACTCATAACTACAGGTAACTGTAACTGCTTCACAGATCTACACATTCTACAAATCACTACAGCACATGCTAAGTCTCAGTCTGTTATGTCTTTGCTAAGCATTGCTCTGTTTCAGTTCCCAGCAGTGGAGATTCCTCTGCTCTTGTGCTTACAGCATTGCCAGCTGGCTACCATCACACAATTCCCTGTCTCAACTAACTAGTCAAAGATAAATTACGTTATGACTGACAGTCTGACGGCCAGTCTGTCTTTGGTGTCAAGCCCCACCAAGCCAAGATTTTTGTTAGTCATACAGGTGTGTGTTTGTAGAGTTGGGGCACCCTCTCTGTTAAGAGGACAAGTCTGTCATATACAACTACTGCTGGACTTGCCAGCACAGTCATTCTTGCATCCAAGTCCTGAGGGACTCATCACCATATTTTACTCTGATTCGAGAATCCCCCAACCTGGAGGGCCAGGTCCCTGTATTCACATTCCCCAGGGACATGATGGGTAAGATATACTAAAGTAAGAGAGAGTATTACTTTATTGTTGGCAGTTTACCACCAACCAGGTCATCTTGGAACCAAGCCTATTGAGGCTCATGACTGGCAGTCTTATTCATGCTCACTATATAGCCTCAGCATGGACTGCACACAAAACCCTGCTTTCAACAGTTCTTCTACTGTAACATGCATATCTGTTGCCACACTAATCCATTTAGCCAGCCATAACCTCACAATGGACTATGTAATGTCATGGTATAATCATTCATTTACCAATATCACTTAATCTTTCTTACGTCCGAATATTTTCCTGAGAACTTTGGAGTTTCTTCTTTAATATTATATGAGAACTACTGAATGTCATTTGTAGGTGTCATTATTTTTTCATTTCTCTTATGGAAGAATAAGGCCTACTTTGCCACCTTATAAAACACAATTCAGCTGATTATCATCTCCCATTAGTCCTCATGTGGTTTATTTAATGACACTGCCCATTGTTCATGGTACCACAGGAACTCACATAATTTATGCACCCTTATCTTTAGACAATAAACATCAATATTAATACGGAAATTTTAGATTCTACAGGGTTCTGAAGATGGAGTACAACACTCAGAATTGCTGGGTTTTTTACTTTTCCCATCATCCAATGAACAAGGTTAGTTCTTTGTAAAGGACCCAACTGAGTAGGTGTCTCCCCCCCCCCTTGAGGAGGAAAACAGGTCCAGTTTCCGAAATGTCGTGTTTTCTACTTTCTAGAATACCGGATGATAGAAAATGTCCAAAAACCCAATAATTCTGACTGAGATTTTACTGTCAATAAAATTTTAAATAATGCCTAATTTTCACACACAAAAAACATAATTAAAATGCATTATGACCTGCAGGTGTAAGAACAAACATTACAACATAAGAAAATTCATCTGTCACACTGAACGGAGGTGACAGCCCAAGCAAGGTAACAGAAAATACTGATCCACATTCTTCTGGCAATCAGAATATTTGTCTGGTTATACCAGATTTTCAAACATCTTTCAACCCCTGTCCTTGATCACTTGTACATTGATTGAAATGTTGGCAAGATCATGTCACCTGGAACAGAAACCTCTACAGATTATTATACTCACTTATTTTCCTTAAACACTTTCACAAAAAACATACATACCCAAATATAATGGACAAATTCTGGCTGTGTACAGTGGTGAATTCTTAGAGATGTTGAAGCACTTTTGTAGTCAAAAACTATTTAAAATAAAAAAGAACCCCAATATAAAAACCTTTATGTAATCACACTGTGCTTCTATGTTACTGTGTGTACTGGCTAGGTAGCCTATGGTGTACTTCCATGAATACCCCTCCAGTCACTTATAAAGGACACTGATGATAACTGACACCCTGTCCCCCTTATTAAACCATTAAGACAAGGGTTTACTGTACTGTCAATAATAATAACACTCATTCTCATGTACTGCCTGTTTCCAAGGCATCAAATATTCACTAGTAGTAATGAACCAAGAGATGGCACTTTAAAGAAAAAATGTAAAGGAAAGTTACATAATCAGTGTGGCAACTTTCTTTATGAGAAATAACATTAAACTGATTACACACAAAATAATGTTCATTATGGCAGACTTTTCATTCTAGGTTGTAGATGTAATAACACACTTTCAGTGTAATTACCTTGTATCTGCATTTACAACAAAAGACTATTTTGTAAATCTGATATTCATCAGCGAGGTTTCCTAAAAAGTCTCCCCCCCCCCAAAAAAAAAAATTTGGATCTCTTACATAAGGGAATTAAGTTATAGGCAGATGTTACTGCATACATTTCATACTACCTCCATTCCTTGAAGAAGGTTTAGACATATGCATTACTTCTATGCACAGCAAACTCCTTGTCATCTGGCATGTATGGGGAATAGCACGTGCCAGTTGCATTAACTGGCCAACTGCATGAGAAACCCAATTTTTACATGCTTTTCATCCTTCTCAAGTCTCTTATACTATATTTATATTTTGTTTCAAAGTAAAGATGATAAGTTTCCACTTTAGTTCTTGCATGGGAGTTTTCTTAGATGACAAGTGGATTTACAGGTTAATTTCAGATATGCTGTAACACAACCACAAACTCAACTAGCCTCTACTGCAGTCATGGATCACCACAACTGCAAAGGCCCCACATGATGGATGGATGACAGCACTGCTAACGGCAGCTGGACGACGTAACACATGGTGGGTGAGCACATATTTGACGTAACTCCACACACAGATGTTTTTTGAAATTTTTTCTCGGTGCAAGAGAATTCTGGACATTTCCATATCATAAAACTGAAAGCTTACTGCATATATTTTACTGTGGAAGATAACAAAGAGCATATAGGCCAACTGCTTACCAGAGTAAGGGAGGTAAACAACATGGAAACCAGGTGAAAGTATCTGTATGTTTGAATCATCCAACCGTTCCTCCTGTGGAATAAGCGCTACAACACTCGGAGCAGCATTTGTGCGGGGTGTAAAGCAGCAAATGGGTACCACCTTCCTTGCAATGCAGCGATCAAGGAGTGCTGCAAACAGCTTGCGGCTGCCTGTGGACAGAAACACAGGCTAGGCATTCTGAATACTTTCAAAAGTAACAATTTCACTACCATTGCACTGAACAAGGAATGGTGATAAAGGACAGATAAGAGTATGAAATCTTCTAAATGTTATTAAATGGTAGGCAAAGGGGACAACGGTAGAGAGAAAACAAACAATGGGATGGTTAGATAAAAGCTGATAAATTTATTCAAAATTTGGGGGAAAACACAAATTGCACCACCATTCACTTGTATGCATACAGACAGTTCATATAAATCCAGTTCTGGAACTATTGTGGGAAAAGGAGTAGAGGCCATTAAACAGTGTCCCTTGGCACTGAACCAGATGTCACACTGACATACCAGGATCCCCTCGCCAAATAATTCCCTAGGGTGCTGCCAGAACACTGCACCATCACGACCCAGTCTTCCTCATCCAGCCCAAGTCTATGGCCCCTTCATGCTTCCTTAAAGTGGTGGAATACATGGAAGTCATCCACTGACAGGACCTGGCTGCATGGTGGATGGCCCAAAACCTTCAAGTGGACAGCGCAGGCACCATGGGAACGGATGACACACCTAATGAGCTTGCTTGCGGGGATGCTTTCGCTTGATGCGGCCATGAAGGTTCCACAGTAACACTTTATGATGTTGGTAATGTCAGGATGCTTGAAGGCCAGTATCAGTGGCCTCTAAACTCAGGTTGGACAAAGATGTCAAGGCCACAGCTGTGCAGTAATTCCAGCAGCAGACCTGGGAATTCCTTGTTGAAGGCATCCATAGACTGGTGCAGCAATGAGATGCAGCCTCACTCTCTATGTGGACTAATCTCAATGGCCTCTACTTTTTTGCCTCAAACAATCCTTGAACAGGTTTAATCTGACAAACATCCTATTGTATTATCACTTTCCACAGATGACAAGGGTTCAATGTTGAGTGCCTGAAATGGAAAACATACTGAAAAATATCTCACGTATATCAAAGAACTCTTCTCTTATCACTCTAATTCACTTGTCTTCACTTCTTCAGCTTACCTTTAATAAGTCCTTCTTCTGGATATATAAAGGACGATGGCTTTAAGTGGTGATGGACTTTGATCTTGGATTCAGGTTTGAACCCTAAGAGCTTCAGGCCTGGTTCAGTTAACTTATATAGATTTTTAACTTCAGCCTGAATAAACAAATTACATCACAAGACATTAATGTGAAATGACACATTCTTAATGGATAAACATAACCACAAACAACCTCATACACAACCAATTTTAATTTTACATCAGCATAGAAACAGCAAACAAATTCTGGGAAGAACTCATGGTATATATTCTCAGTCATTTTTCTGACAATCCTGATAATTTTAAATTATAAACATTAATTAAAACTGATCCTGAATGTCTGTCACACATCCATTTGCATGGGTTATCATTCAGGCTGTCTAAAATATCTGAGAAATCACATTCCAGGCCAATGATGGACTATCCCCAACAGTTTAAACAAATTAACCCCAGTATATATATGTCAAAATATATGAACTTCAGAGGGTTATATGTTTCCATCTAACATGAAAGATGGACATGTACGTGTATATACCGTATGTCCAAAAAGTATCCGACTTTATTTTTTTCCACTGTAAGTAATATCCAAAGGGGTGGAACAATGGAGCGTAGTGGTAGAAGGGACTCTCATGCCCATGCATGATTTTTTTGCTGACTCGCAACACTGCCGGATGCATCTGTGGCTGCCATATAGCGAAGTGCTGTAACACATGTTTGTCGCATTCTCGTTTCGCTCAAGATGACAGAACGCTTGGAGCAGCGATACTGCATTAAGTTTTGTCAGAAACGTGGGGATACCCAAGCGGAAACCATTCACAAAATTCAGCAGGTTTTCAGCGATGATGCAATGGGGTCACTCAAATTAAAGAGTGGTTCAACCGCTTTAAACATGGTCGTTATGTCAGCGGACAGTGAGCAGCATTCCAGGAGACCGTCAACGAGCCAAAATGCTGATGTCATTGAAAAAGTGCGGACACTGATCACGGAGGACCATCGTTTGGCCATCCATGAAGTTGCTGATGAGGGTGGGATCAGCAGAGGTTCTGTAAACACAATTTTAACTGAGGATTTGGGCATGCAAAGAGTGGCGGCAAAATTTGTGCCCAAGCTGCTTTCGCCAAACCAGCAACAACTCCGCCTTGAGGTCGCGCAGGACATGCTGGAGTGCGCCAACAGGGATCCTGAGTTCCTGAAGACTGTGATCACCGGTGACGAGTCGTGGGTGTATGGATATGACCCGGAAACCAAGGTCCAGGCATCACAATGGAAGCATCCAACATCCCCGAGACCCAAAACAGCACGACAGGTTCGGAGCAATGTGAAGGTGATACTGACTGTTTTTTTCGATTACCGGGGTGTTATGCATCATGAGTACGCACCACTAGGCCAGACTGTCAATAAGGAGTACTACCAAGAAGTCCTCCTCCATCTTCGCGATGCAATTCGGCGCGAGAGACCAGAGCTGTGGGATGCACGCAACTGGCAGCTGAATCATGACAAAGCCCCAGCTCATTCATCACACCTGATCCAGGGTTTCCTGGCCAAGCACAGCATTCCGCAGGTTCACCAGGCTCCCTACTCTCCTGACATGGCTCCTTGTGATTTCTGGCTGTTTCCAAGATTGAAGACACCGCTAAAAGGCTGCTGTTTTGACAGCCGCGAGGACATCATACAGAATGCGACGGCGCAGCTGCATGCCATTCCAAAAGAAGCCTTCCAGAATTGCTTCCAGCGATGGAAGGACCGCTGGGCTAAGTGTGTGGAGTCACCAGGGGCCTACTTTGAAGGGGATTAGGTATTGTAACCATCCAGATACAGAACTTTTTTTCCCGGCCCAAGGTCAGATACTTTTTGGACAGAGTAGCATATATAAAATCATCAGCTCTTGCTATCCTGTCATCTTTACCAAGTGAAACTGGACAATTTTCAACTTCCATGCATCCACAGCCATGGAGAACATTATAGCAACTACATTACATTGCACTCCATGGATCCAAAGTTAGTCAAAATGACTGCAGGATGTGGAATATGTCATATAAATACAAAACATATGTACAGTCCCAATGGAGTTCTCATACAAGAGAAACCAAGAATACACAGTGACTACATACAAGGCTACTTAAAGATACATAAGTTATTTTCTAGACGCTAGGTATTCATCAACAGAGTAGAATGTAAGTATCGTTTCAGTGTTATTTTAAATCGTGCCTTTTCATTCATAAGACCTTTGAGATCAGATGGCAGGTTATTAAAAAGTTTTGATCCCAGCATAATATGTGTTTTTCTGAAAGCATTAGAGGTTAACAATTGTTCATGAAGACAGTATCTGTGTCTTGTGGTAACACTGTGTACATCCGCATTCGTCTGAAAATGTTCTTCGTTATTTGTAATGAAGTTTATTAATGAATATACATTGAAGTGCCAAAAGTCGTTGGATATGTACCTAGTATCGTGCATATATTCACAAGGAAAATTCTTGATTTGTTTCATTCTGGTCCGTCACACTAACAATATTACAAATGATAAAACAATTCCATCCAGTGTGACTGTTGAAACTTTTACTATGTCACTTCTTAGCACCCTAACATGTTTTGGTCCCTATAGACCAAGGGTCTCCAAACTACAGCCAGCGGGCCACATGCGGCCCGCGATGTGATTTTATCCGGCCCACGAAAGAACTGTGCAGAAATGCGCCAATGAGTACTGGTAAAAAAAAAACTTGTGCATAGATTTCAAATTCATTAATTAAGATTGTATTTAAAATATACTGATATTCCATATTTTGTTAATATTAATATTATTCACAATTTTACTAATTCTGGACCCTATACTGCGCGGTATTTCTTTGTACTTGTTCGGCCTCAATCGGCAGTGTCACTTCGTGGCAATGTAGGTAGCGCGAGCAGTTTGTTACACAAGACTCCTTGCAGTGGTGTAGTGTAATTGTAACAGATCATCATCACCTCAATTTAATCAGATTTTAAGAATGCAAAAAGAGTTCCATCATTCACATTGTTTTATTATAATTTGTGATGAAAATATGAGCATTTGCTGCTACTGTATGTTGTCATTAATATATGTTAATTTATTGTCACGTACTTTCTATTTAGTTTATGAAATTCTGTGCTTTCAATAAAATTCATATACCTAGAGTTATTAATTTCTCATTTTATCTGGCCCGTTGAAAGTGCTGAATTACCTAATGTGGCCCGCGTTTCGAAAAGTTTGGAGACCCTTGCTATAGACCATCATCGGAGGGAACATCAATACTTTTAGAAACTACTTTTACATTGGGTGCTTTGATTTTTAAAATACATAAATATACAATATATGTAATATACAGTTTATACAAAATCCAAATTTCTTACAACTACAGCAACTGTCCTTGATGCATTAAAGTTTTTTTTTTAAAAACAACACAGCACACTATGAACAAACATAGGACGACAACATGAACTACCTTCCCAAGAAAGACTGGAGGCGCATGTTTGACCCCATCAAGAAAAACAAAAGGACAAGGGACATGAACCTATTCGGTTAAAGAACTTTAACTTAAATAACAAAAAGTTTCTAAGAAACTTTAATGCATCAAGGACAGTTGCTGCAGTTGTAAGAAATTTGGATTTTGTATAAACTGTATATTACAAATATTGTATATTTATGTATTTTAAAAATCAAAACACCCAATGTAATAGTAGTTTCTAAAAGTATTGATGTTCCCTCCGATGATGGTCTACAGGGACCAAAACATGTTAGGGTGCTAAGAAGTGAAGTAGTAAAAGCTTCAACAGTCACACTGGATGGAATTGTTTTATCATTTCTCACAAGGAAAAGTTAAGATCTGCAGTCTCTTGAAAAGATCTTTACAGGAATTACGGGATTTGACACCCATTATGTTTCTAATAATTTTCTTTTGCAATGTAAATACCTTTTTACTGTCAGATGAATTACCCCAGAAAATTATTCCATACTTCATTAAAGAGTGAAAGTAAGCAAAATTGATTGATTTGACAGTGTCAATGTTACTAATATGTAACATGAATCTAACTGCATAACATGCTCTACTTAGCTTTGGAATCAACAGATTGATATGGTTTTTCCAGTTTACATGACTATGAATTTGCAAACCAAGGAATTTTGTGTTTACTCCCTCTTCTATATATTTATCATTATATCCTACGTTTAATTGATACTGTGGTGAGTGTCTTGTTATAAATTTTATTACATTTGTTTTTTCTAGGTTCAGGGACAGCTTGTTTGCAGAAAACCATTTACTCATTTGCGAAAGAACTTTGCTTGATAACATGCAGAAATGATCTAAATTTTTGCCAGAAATTATAACACTAGTGTCATCTGCAAATATTATATGTACTGATGAAGTCATTTATACAAATTATGAAAAGCAAAGGGCCCAGAATTAACCCATGGGGAACTCCATGTTTTATCATTCAGTTTGAGTAGGTACTTTGGATTGAATTTGATGATTTTAGTTCAATCTTTTGTTTTCTGTTAGGTAGATGATTTACAGAGTCAAAAGCCTTTGTCAAGTCACAGAATATTCCACCAACATGCATTATTTCATGTGTTAACTTAAAGGCTGCATTTTCAATGGAAATTCCTTTCCTAAAGCCAAACTGTTCTGGGACTAGTACATATGATCTGTATATTCCTTTCAAATAAATTTCAACTAACCTCATTTTATAATGTACTTACAGGTTTGAATATAATTTTCTTAAAACCAAACTCCTGGTATTTGTTTAATTCTGAAGGCAACATCACTTCACCAGTGTCCTGCAACAAAGAAAAAACATTTTTAAGCCTTAGCTACAAAGAAAAACATCAGTATGACAACAGTAAGTACTTCAAAATAGCTCAGTTAGTATAGTGACTAGGCTACAAACTGGATGACCAAGAAATTGGGATTCAATTCCTGGCAGCAACTAGAACAGTTATGGGCCCCAACCAACCTCCTATCTAGTGTGCACAGCGGGCTATTCACCCAGTCCCGATGAGGTCATTGGATTTTTTCAATTGACCTAATCCTTCCAGCCGCACTATGGGCCTGAGGTTGACTCAGCCTCTAACAGAAATGAGTACCAGGAATATTCTTGGGGGTAAAGGGCGGCCAGCGCATAAGGCTGAAAACCTTGCCGCCATCTATGAGCTGATTGTCTACAAAATGTAGGAACCTCAACATCTCACAATCCTATGGGCCTCCACAGCCTGTTACAGGGATACCTTTACTTTTTTTTTTTACTTTTACTTCAGCTGTATGAGCTATATACCATCAAATGGTAGGATGACTATGACTGAAAGATTGTTATGGCTAACCTATTGTTATTATCTGTGAAATATTAACTACATTATATGACTCATCATACTAAGTGATAAGCCTAACACAATTCCAATTTGTCTAACCCTGCCCAACCTTTCACACAACTATGGCTTCATCGCTTAATATAAGCCTAACTCAACATACTCTTATGTTGTTAACAAATTTTATTTTCGTTTCCTTCAGTTTTCAACCTTCCTCTTTATTCTTGCATCATAACAAATACATTTCAGAGTACAGGAGGTGGGAGGGCAGAATATTGAAACAGAATTACTGCCTTTTCAGACTTCCTCCATTGCCTGGTATTCTAAACACTAGAGAAAACAATGCTCAAAAACTGGATCTGTTTCCGTCCACAACTGCATATGAACACACCTACTCTGTTTGGTACTTAGAGAGAGCTAATCTCAATCACTGGACAATCCGTGAGATTCGCTACAGCTATTTAATACCCGAGACCGAGCTATGTAGAAGGGAGATAATAGGAAAATATGCAATAAAAATTGAAATAAAACATGCACATTCATGTAACTAGGATGGAAAGGGAGGTAGGAATTTATGCTACAAACCTAGCCAACAAACCAAGTCCATGAACAACAATGCATAGGATCAAATGGAGAATTTGTGAAAACATACAGTGCTTACTGCTACCACCATCTGTGGAGTAAAATCTGAACACTTGAGATTACAACCTTACTAGTATCCCATGAAAGATTTGTCACATCATACAGATATTCTCTGTGAGTTGGCAACAACATTGCTGATAAGGATCCAGATGGGAAACATTTCCAAACTGGGTTGGCTGATCAGATTGTTTAAGAATGCCATGTGGGCTGATTCCCTATAGTTCCTATACCTGGTGTTACTTTAAATTTCCAAAATCCTAGCTTCATCCCAGACTACCCTATGACCTGATTCATAGGCATTTTGGGCTAATTTTGATTTTTCTAGAAAACCTTCTTTGAGATTGTGCCTATGTTCACAGAGCCGCACAGCACAATGTCGGCCTGTTTTGTCAAATGTAGCTTCTGCCACATTCACATGGAATACTGTAGATGCATTGTGCCATCTGTTGCAGACCTCCTTCTGGCCTCATTTTCATGAGTGAACTCCTAAGTGTGTTCAGTTCTAAAGATTTTCCTAATGGTATATCGAATCCCTAAACGTTTGAACTTCTCTGAAACACCTTGACACATGGAATACACAAAGAGCCCAGAGGCTTTTCCTCTTTATTCGGATGAATGCTACCCTTGGAATTAATGACTGAGTCAATGAAATCTTGGGGATAATTGGTGGGCTGAAGATGACATCCCAGGTTGTTAATTTCATTAACCAGATCTAGTCATTCTTGGCACACAGTGGAAGCTCTATTGCGAAGACTATGAATCAAACCTCTTTTCACATGTGGCAGATGATTAGATTTGAAGTTGAGATATTGGCCAGTGTGGGTGGGTTTCCTGTATATTTTGGTGATCAGTGCAATCTCTTTCCTGATGACCAAAACATCCAGAAAGTGAATTGCAATGTCTGACACAATTTCCACAGTGAACTGAAAGGAAGGCCTTAAACTGTTGAGGTGGCTGAGGAAATTCTGTACCTGTTCTGAACCATGAGGCCAGACCACAAATATGTCATCAACATTTCCGACGCACAGCGATGGTTTGCGTTGTATCAAGTCAAGAGCCAATTTCTCAAAATGCTCAATGATGATGCTGCTAACGATACCAGATGATGGACAAAGTTCGAAAACCCAGAAATTCTGAGTGTTATACACTACTGTTGGAACCTTTTAGAAACTAACACTGAAACTGTCATGATGGAATAAGCTCAATCATTACACACAAAGGTAGGATAAAGAATCAGTATGTTCATTTGCACTCACACTGAAATATCAAGGAACATTACTGGCACATAGCCATAAAATTATGGGTAACAGGATCTCTTTAATTATCTATACAATTTTTATAGAATTAATTTAAGAAATTCTGTATAAGTTTAAGCAATGATATGATGCTGCAGTCCTCCATATTGTACAAAAGATAAGTGTTTAACCCGATATGCAAATGGTTGTTTTTGTATATATGCTGACATTGAAATCTACACTGCTAAAACATATTGAGGTTATAAAATGCACTATACAGGTTATCAGTGACTGACAGGCAGCTACATTATTTTTAAAAGAAGTTAATTAAAATAAGAGAAGCCAAAAAGAGAAGAGTGAAAGAGAAATTCTGTCTACCCTACTGTTGGAGATCACTTCACACACCTACAACCCAACACAAAACACAGGTTTCAAGCAGCTCTTCAAAAAACATTTTTGACTAATGAAAATGACAAAAGGTGTCAACACAGGGCTACTGTAGGCAGATCCACTGGCATAATTAGTACTACCTGCAATCAGAATGTGGACTGCTCTACTGGTGCACTGTTTACCGCAACCTCATGCAGCACCATTACAATTTATTGTTTCGAGAGGCATGAACGAACACAATGTGGTGCAACTGTGCAAAACTCCAAGTATGTTCTTAAATTTATATATAAGATACTTACAAGCAACTGTAAAGAATTTAGTATTCACTTAATAATTAGAAACATACGTGGTGCGTTCAAGTTCTAAGGTCTCCGATTATTTTCTCACACAATAATCATACCAAAAATTTGAAACTTCTGTCACATTTCAAAGTAACCTCCCTGCAGCCGTACACATTTTTCACATCATCGACGCCATGATTCCATGGCCGCTGCAAATGCTTCTGTAGGAGTCTGTTTTGACCACCGGAAAATCGCTGATGCAATAGCGGCATGACTGGTGAATGTGCGACCACGGAGAGTGTCTTTCATCGTTGGGAAAAGCCAAAAATCGCTAGGAGCCAGGTCAGGTGAGTAGGGAGCATGAAAAACCACTTCAAGGTTGCTTTCGCGAAGAAACCGCTGCGTCGTGTATGCCCGATGCGCTGGTCCATTGTCCTGGTGAAAGAGCACATGTGCAGCCTTTTCTGGCTGTTTTTGTCGCAGTGCTGGAAGGAGCTTGTTCTTCAAAACGTCTTGGTAGGATGCCCGTCACCGTAGTGCCATTTGGAACGCAATGAGTAAGGATTATGCCATCGCTGTCCCAAAACATGTCCACCATCATTTTTTCAGCACTCGCGCTTACCCAAATTTTTTTGGTGGTGGTGAGTCTGTATGCTTCCTTTGAGCTGACTGGCACTTCGTTTCAGGGTTGAAAAATGGCATCCATGTGTCATCCATTGTCACAATTGATGAAAAGAAAGTCCCATTCATGCCTTCATCACGTGTCAACATCACCTGGCAAATTGCCATGCGTGCAGCCTTGTGGTCATCCGCCAGCATTCGTGGCACCCACCTGGAGGACACTTTCTGCATTCACAGGTCTTCATGCAGGATTGTGTGCGCAGATCCCATGGAAATGCCAACTTTGGAGGTGATGTTTTCCACACTCAATTGGAGATCTTCCAAAACAACTTTCTCAACTCGCTTGACCATGTTGTCAGACCGGCTGGTGCGAGGCCGAGATTGTTCTGGTTTGTTGTCACACGACGTTTGGCCTTCTTTGAACTGTCGCACACACGAACGCACATTTTTCACATTCATGACACCATCACCACACGTCTCACTCAAGTGGCGATGAATTTTAATGGGTGTCACACCAANCACCTGGCAAATTGCCATGCGTGCAGCCTTGTGGTCATCCGCCAGCATTCGTGGCACCCACCTGGAGGACACTTTCTGCATTCACAGGTCTTCATGCAGGATTGTGTGCGCAGATCCCATGGAAATGCCAACTTTGGAGGTGATGTTTTCCACACTCAATTGGAGATCTTCCAAAACAACTTTCTCAACTCGCTTGACCATGTTGTCAGACCGGCTGGTGCGAGGCCGAGATTGTTCTGGTTTGTTGTCACACGACGTTTGGCCTTCTTTGAACTGTCGCACACACGAACGCACATTTTTCACATTCATGACACCATCACCACACGTCTCACTCAAGTGGCGATGAATTTTAATGGGTGTCACACCAAGCAAGTGGAGAAAATGAATGATTACTCGCTGTTCTTGTAACGAAAACATCACAATTTTAGGTACCAAAAACACTCCCAACTCTCGCCACCACTACTAGAGTTCTGTGTGCCATACAGTACTGCCATCTCTGTCACGCATTCACAAAGAGTGCACACATATTTTAAACTAAACTGCATGTGTCTATCTGCTCCCAGTCCTGAGAAAAAAAATCCGAGACCTTAGAACTTGAACGCCCCTCATACTGTGGCATGTAGATACACCACTAGGAAATGACCATGAAATAAGCAACTATACAAAACCCTTTGCTAGGCAATGGCTGAGTAGTGATCATGCGGTCACCCCAACAGACATGAATGCAACAATTCCACCACAACAGCAGAATGGTGTTTTCTATATGGTACATGTTGAGATGTTATAAGCAGAGCCAGTTAGCTGTGGTAGTTACTTAGATAACCACTGGAGTTCAGTTGTTGTGAGCTGTTGCTGTGAGAAGCTGGTAGCTGAGGCCAGGGACAATTCAGGAACCCAGAGGAATGGGAACATCCACCATTGAAAGCCACTACCAAGCAATGGTCAGTGGAGACTAACAGGCTGAGAATATCTGTGAAGTGTGCAGAAGACTGACAGCAAAATCCTTACAAGCTGTAAGAGTTCAATAAATCTAATTACCAATCCAAACCCCATTTGTAGTCAATCAAAGACAATATTTTTACCTATTCTGTCCATTTCTTACTAGACAAAAAAGCAACTCCATTTCAATTTGTCAAACACCAACTGAAATGTGTTATTTCTCACTGCTGTCTTGGGGTTTTAATATTTGCCATACTTACGCCATGAAACTTTTTTATGGAGGTTTTCACAACTTCATTTGTAGTTCTGTCTAGCAGTGCTTTTCTGGGGATGAAAGTAGGTCTGCAAACAGTAGAAAATAGCTACATAAGAGATATGTGCTGTCATCTAATTTGCCAGCCATAACAATACTGACAGAGACAGCCTAAATTAATACATCAAATAGAATGGCTTCCCAAGGTGTAAATCGCATGAAAACACAGTTCCTTATTTGAAGATCAACAAAACAGAATTACCGATATGCTACCTAGCAACAGACACACTGTCAGTGTCATACCTGACCTCTTCTTCATTTACAGAAAGAACTGATTACTGGTTAATTGTAACGCCTTAATTGGGACAGCAGTAGAACCATTCACATAAACCAAATAATAAACTGCACAGGAAAAATTCCTATAATTTCAAGTATGTAACAACATACAAAGGATACCATATTTAATGTTCCTTGATATAAGGGCCTTCCTTCAACAAATTCAGTGATAAAATATCTCCATTTAAGATTTTCCTCAGTTTCACATTCAAATCCACCACGCTCCAAAGAAATTTAACCTTTACCGTACAGACTTTTAAATTGCCGGCAGCTCCTATGGCCGGAATTTAAATTGCCCCAAGTCTTTAACATTGCAAACTTTCAGAAAAAAATTGCATATCTTCCGTTCTATGTAACATCGGAATATGAACTAAAAAGAACCTGAAAGACAATAAAATTTTCTACATATACACAAAAGGGCAAGTTTTACAAATGAAAATTAAGTGTGATTATTTTGTCATGAAATGCAAAATATAATCGTTATTTATACGTTATGAATTTCTAAAGGACTTACCCGTTGTTTTTCTTCAACCTTGAATCGTGGTGGTGATGCATATATGATGACACTATATACTACAATATTTGGTTCGGACTGTACACGGTTTGGACTGCGTCACTTCACAGTTTACACTCTGACGCGTGTGTGCCATTTCTCGAAGCACTCCACCACACACAGTGCAACATCACACTTTTTACAGCAGAAAAGCATGCCCTGCTTTTCTTGTTTATAGAACAAACGTGACGCCTTTGTTTCCCTTCAGCTGGCCAGTGTTTTGAATGTTTCACCTCCAGTCAACTCATTTGGGCCCCAGATGAACTTGGCCTCCCCCGAGAAACACCATTGACCGTGATATTCGCCTGTGACTGAAGAATCAAATCACGCACCAAAATTTCGCGGAATTTTTTGTGTCATTTTTCCATCACATGACTTGTGTAACATATGCATTGAGAACAGTCATGTCTAGGAGGTGGAAGAATAATTTCTTTGTCCATTTCCATGTCCTCTGAGCAATGCCATAGCTGTTTACCATCCTGTCAGATTTATCCACAAAGCCCATGTGCGCACTGTAGTCTTCAATTACATGAGGTTTGATAGCACGGCCAGATTCATCTCAGAAGTTGCCATCCAATGGAGGAGGGTACATATTTGTCAGAACATACACATCATGCTTGTCTTTCCAATGAACAACACTTAGATTCCCCTTCACTCTTGTCATAATATCCCCTTTTTTCAATTTCATCGATTTGGGCCGAATTTCTTGTGGCATTCCATGCTGGTGCCACACGTATTTATTTTACGCTCTAGAAGATCGTCATACAATGCAGGGGAACTGAAATAGCTGTCCATATAAAGTTTGTGTCCTGAGCCTTCTACTCTTCGAATTAGCTGGAGAACAATGCCATGGGTTGATGTAATTTCTTTGGTTGGAAGTTGCCTTTGTTTCCCCAAATAAACAGTCATGTCATATGTATAGCCCAGAGAATCGCAAAGCTTGTAAATTTTTATTCCAAATCTTTTGTGTTTCTTTGGAATATACTACCGAAAAACCACTCTTCCTTTGAACAGCACTATCACTTCATCAACAGCAAGATGTTCCGATGGCTTGTAAAGTTCACAAAATTTGCTGTTAAGATTGTTGAAAATTTTTCTAATCTTCCAGAGCCTATCATACTCTGGGTCATCTCGATTTGGAGGAGCTTCATTATTCTCAAAATGCATGAATCTCAAAATATGGAAGAAACGGTCATGTACCATGGTGTTATGATAGAATGGAGTGTAGTACTGCTCATCTCTTGACCAATAATCTTTCAGGGTGTCCCACTGATCGTGGCCCATTTGAATTATTATGGCCATAAATTTTTACATTTCTTCAATTGTGACGTCAGGCGGTTGAGCAGAAGGCCTGGAGCATCTTGGCTTGCCAAAAATTGACGAAAATATCTGTTTGTTTCTTGTACCAAGATCTGGCATATATGATGGAAAAAGAGAATGAAAATGGAAAAGGGAGAGGACTGAGCATTTATATTGGGAGCGGCGGATCTGTTGATTCCACTCGGAGGACCAGTGAAATCTAGCAGCTCTGGCGAATCCCCGGGTCTTCTATCGTGAAACCTGATCTCCATTTCCCCTGCCTCATTACTTGATGATGATGATGATGATGATGACGACGACATATGCTCGCAAGGTTCAATGACCTCATTGAGTTCTTCCAACTCTTCATCAGATTCATCTTCCATCAATATTTCCTTCAGTTCTTCAGCATCGAGGAGTTTTGAGTATTGGGCTCGTTTTTGAGGTTCCATCTTGGGGGAGGGGGCTTCCAGCTAAATCCTATAATTTATGATGATTGAAAAAGCGAGACTGTTAGGAACACCTGTTAGGAACACTCGCAAAATTGTGATGCAAAATAATTGCAATAGCAATCAAAAAGTGCCAGTCCGCCACTGATACCGAAAGTCACAGTGACAAAGATGTCTTTACGCATAAAGAAATACTGGCTCAGTGGGTTTATACCTCTTCCGAGATGCACAATAAAAATGGTATACAAAGAAATATAGGAGTCTGACACCGACTTCCTAACTAATAACGAAATATTAGAAAATCCGCCACTGACGTCCTAACTGAGAAAACAACACTGCAAACCAATCCCTGAATGCTTAACACTGCCTTGAAAGCTCTGGTAGCACTGATATGCAAGCGCCCACAATATTTCCTCCTCTAAGTTCTCAAAACAAAGCTGACTTCTATTGGCTCACCAGGTCATAAACAGTCATATCTAAACCTGAAACCAGCACCCTGATAAACGATTTCATCTTTCAGAGCTAACAAATAAACATCTGACATGAAGTTCATGAGTTTGTTTGGGTTTCAAACCCAAGGTCAAACTGCCAGCACTCACAAAGGAAGCACTTGGCTTGCCTCTAAAAATTATAACATTCGGCCAGCTGGCTTGCTACTTGCTGCCAATAATTATAACATTCGACCCTTAAAGGTTAAACATGGGTTCCATTGTAGTTTTTACTGCTCAGAAAATCTTTACTCAGGGTCCCAATAGTGACCTTTGTATATCTAAGTAAATTACACATACCAGTCTTATGTGAGTTTCATGTAAACTACACTCAGATCAGGGAAAGAATGAACATGGCTGCTGTGGGTTGGATACCTTCCTGCTCACCCACCCTACTTAAACAGCACACCTGCTCCTACAGACATCAATACAGACACCTATACTAATCACAAACTGGGAACACAAAGGGAAAGGGTCAGCAAGCAAAATGAAAGTCAGCATGACTGCAACAAATGGTCGGAGTGAGGGAAGACATTCAGATGGGAGAGAATGTGTTTTTCTTTCCATGGTCCAACTTCAGTGGTCAAATTTACTTAAATATGTTCACCAATTTTAGACAAAAACCCATTAAGTTGGCAGGCAGACAGAAAGACTTTCCTGTTACACATTCAGTTTATATATGCCTGCGTCATGCAATGAACATTATGAATGAATGGGTATGGGGTACGCCTAAACCAGCCTTTGCACCACAACCTTCAATGATATATTGTGCATCCCCCTCCATTTCAACCTTTCAACAATCCCACACTACCTTACATACAGGGATGCCTTGGTAATCACCTGGCTCCATAAAGTAATGACCAAGGGGGTGAAATCTTAAGCTACAGAGTCACGATCACGTAGGATGTACGAACATATAAAAATGAAATCATGACTGAAAAGTACCTAATAAGGTTGTAGACAGCAACTCCAAACCTGACTCCATCACCCAATGTGAAAAGGATCTTCCCAACACTCCTCTTCTTGTGATCTTTCCGACATACTCTTGCCAAAAGCTCATCAAATCTATTTGATGGGTTGGGGAGCCGCCAGTCACACGAATCATCTCCTTTCACTGACTGTATTAATTCCTATTAAAAGAAAGGAGAGAGACTTTAAAACCAGAAGGTGTAATTAAGGGTAGGGTATTCTCCATTTAAAAAATACATAATTTAAATACAGTTTTATGCCATTATAAATGGCACATAAACCACAGAAATTGTACTGTACTGTACTCAAAGACATATGTAGTACTACTTCTGATACACCCACCCACTGCCTACCAGTAAGGGTAATAGAGACTGATCAAATAGCATAATATTAGGTTATTTTACCAATCTCAAGCTATATAGTGCCAAACGAGATGGAAAAATGATCATGAAGGCAGCAGCAAGGCATATCTAAGCTGCAATGAAGGAGACAGCCTCCATACATGCGCGCTAAATGCAAATACACTGAGGGAACACTTAAGATGTAACGTTCTCTTGATGGTGACTATGAAGATTACAGTCTGCTGCGATGTGATGCTATGTAGTTTGGTAGACAAGTATACACATTTTGGAGGAAAGTGCTACCTCCATCTTCAGGGTAGAGGAAACAAAACTTTGGTATCTATGTACCAAAACACATGGTGTCACATCCCAGAAGACAGGATTCTTCATACTGAATAAGCAGTCACTGACACCTAACAAGGGTTGATTCTCAAGCTTGAGGACAAGGCTGGGGCTAACAACTCATTTACAAACATTAACATGTCAAAAATTGCTACATAGGCCCATGGACTTGATCAGTGGTGGATTCTTGTGAACACAGTAATGAAATGTTTGCTTCCATAAAATGCAGGAAATTTCTTGACACGTTACAGAGAAAATCATCTGCATTCAGAAACTAAATCTAGGTCTATGTGAATGAGAGTTTGGTGTATTACTCTGAGATCAGAACTCCTACATCTACAACCAAAAAGTATGAATTAATTCTTTCTTATATTTAGTCTAGGCAGAAGATTATTGTTGCATTAACAGAGAGCAGCTGGGTTGGGAAGGGGCATGTGCATACCCCACGCCTCTTCTCTAAACTTCTAGAAACGTAGTGTGCCTCAACTTTCATGTTAGCATTAGATTCTTCTCGAAATATAACTGGTATAAAACTTTTGCTGCAAGGTATAAGAGCGAGCAGCATGGTTCGGCTGACGCTCACTATGAGCTAGTAGTAGTGTAGAATGTTCCTGTGTGACAAACCTTTGTGAGTAGATGCAAGTCTGTGAATTTAAGAAGATGAAAGAGCAGTAGTGTAAAGTTAATTAGTAGTGGATTAAAACACTGACTGACATCAAGACCATAACGAACTGCAAATGACTGCTCCAAAACACAATAAACATTACGGTATCATAACAATGTGCACACCATACTGTGTGCTACATGCATGTATCTCTGAACCACAAATATCTACAATGGTTACTGTCCTCTGGGATATGACCTCATTAAGACTGGTAAATCATTACAAATGCTTTGGAGGAATAAATTCCCTTCATCTTCAGGATTCTTCTACCCTGTGGATGGAGGCATGTTTTCCGAAACATTGATATTGACCTGCCAGACTATACAGCGTCATATCTCAGATGACAGCAATATTCATAATCAGCGCTGAGCAGAAAAACTCCATAAATATGCAACAGGAGATATGCAGGATAGTGCAGTCGGTATAGAGACTAGCTACTGGCTGGATGACCGAGGGGTCCAGGTTCAAGTCCCAGTGGGGTCAAGAATTTTCATTTCTCCATGTTATCCAGACCGGCTCTGAGGTCCACCCAACCTCTTATCCAATGAGTACTGTAGCTCTTTCCCAGGGGTAAAGTAGCTGGGGCATGAAGCTGACCACTCACCTCCAACTAGGGCAAGGTCAAGAAAATGTGGATCTATACATCCACTCCTCCATACACATTCATCGTGTACTGCTTAATTACTTAAGCACAGGGAAAACTTTACTTATGGTGAAACTTAGTTCAGTGTATCTCTTCAAGGTCTGTAAAGTGGATAAATCTTCTGTCCTATTTTGTACTTAAAAAGTGCAACAGCATAGGAAATTTCAGGCTGACTGACGTCTTCTCTCACCTTGTAAAAAAGTGAAGGGTCAAAATTATTGCCCATGTGAAGCAATTCCACATCAATATCAACTTGCCCTAGATCTGCAGCTTTACTTCTTGCCTGGTGTTGTTTGTGCTGAGATGCTGCATGTGGATTGTCTGTGTTCGTAAACAACAAGATCCTCTTGGAGCTCACCTTCAACTGACTATGACAAAGACAATACAACTCTACTTGAATCTGCAATAACCAACATTAAACCTAAAAATATGCCCATAACTAATACTTCATTATCTAATGCTTTCCAGATATCTTCTATAAAGTTTTGTGTTGCTGTATTCATAGATTTCTTCTCTCTGAAGCCATTTTGAGCCTCATTTATCACGGTGTGTTTATTACAGATATTATTTTATATTATATAATAATATTTCAAGAATTTTTTTAAAGAACTGCCAAAATTGAAATTGGTCTATAACTGGAAATTTCTTGTACCCTTCTTTCCTTGTGAACAGGCTGAACTGTCATAAGACTAGTAACACTCATAATGGGTTTGAATATGCAATAACAGATACCTATAATAACTGAACATGAATGCCAATGAACTATGCAGAATTGGAGAGAATAGATATGGGAAATGTATAAGAGTATACCTTATTTTTATTTTCTCCATCATGTTTTGTATTTGTATTTGTATTTGTATTTGTATTTATATTTGTTCAAGAAATCCAAAAAAGGATATAGAACATGTCACAGAACTAAATATAAAACAGGATACATGCATAAATTACACGACTAGATAGTACAATGAATCAAACAATAACAAGTTTCAAAGATCCAAAAAATGGATATAAAACATGTCATAAATAATACAAAACATAAAATACTCAGTTATGCTTATCTGGATCCAACAGTATTCAACAATAATAAGTTACAAAGATCCAAGAATGGATATAAAACATATCATAAATAATATAAAACATAAAATACATGCATAGTTATGCTCGTCTAGATGATACAAGAATACAATAAATACTAAAATTTATCTGTTTAAATATTCTTCTACAGTATAAAATGTATGTGTATTCAAAAAATATCTTAATTCAACCTTAAACTTTTTAAAATTATGAGATGAGTTCTTGATCTCTATGGGCAGTTTATTAAACATTTTTATACCCGCGTAGTAAACTCCTTTTTGAAAACTAGTTAAGTTAGCTTACAAAATAGAGGTACTGGAGCTGTCAACACAAACCTCTTGTTAGAAAACAAACAGGTATGTAAATGATACTGAATTTAAGTGTAGCATGCATTTCCCAAAATTCAATCTACTCCTTTTTCATTTTGATTTGTTATTGTTATTGGGAAACAGAAACCTCTTCTTAAAACAGAAAATATCAGTTAATTCATTTTATTAACACACCATTCTACAATGCTTAATTCAAAATCCCAAAGCTACACACTCACCTACTAGAAAATGTTGACTGGCACAACCAGAGGGCATCTGATATAGAAAAGTCATCACTGTGTCCAAATTTATTTGTGAAATCATTGAAGTTTTTGCCTGTAATGAGTAAAAAATTTTATGTTAATTCTGTACTTGGGTTGTTACACCTCCTGATGCTCTAAAGGTACATGTAGGGTCATCCATAATCACACGGTGTAACAATCCGAGAACAGAACTGACATCAATAATTAACCACCATGAAAGCTTAGAATCAGTAAAGTCAAGAAATTCCATTAACAGACAAATTAAATTCTTTGTATCCTCTAAGTTGGTTATGTGTGATCAAGTGATTTATCTTCCTAACATGTGGATTCTTTACATTTTACATTATTTTTATAAGAAGTACAAATGTATACTTTGCAGTTTAACATGTACCTTGTTCATAAACTTTATACAAAATCATACCTGTGATTGACGATATTCCAGAGTTCATTATTAAAAAATGTCACCCTCAACTAGTAAATGCTCTAACATACATTATAAATCTGTAATTTTCATCTGGTTATTTCCCCGACCAACTAAAAATAGCAAAAGTGAAACCCGTGTACAAGAAAGGTTGTGCTGCAAATGTTGGGAACTACAGGCCAGTGTCATTAATTTCGGTTTTTTCTAAAATAATAGAAAAAATTATGCACAATAGGCTTTTATCATTCATAAATTAGTACAGCATAATCAGCAATAAACAGCATGGATTCCGCAAAGGAAAATCAACACATACAGCAATCACAGAATTTACAAAAAGGGTTTACAAAGCACTAGATGAAAAAGAAACGAGTATAGGGATATTTTTGGATTTATCAAAAGCGTTTGACCTAGTAGATCACGATATATTGCTAAGTAAGATGGAAAGAATGGGAATACGAGGGGTTACACTAAGGTGGTTCCAAACATACTTAGAAAACAGAGAACAAGCGGTAGAAATTACATACAGATGCAAAAAAACTAATTGTAACATTAATTACCTCTCCCGAAAGAGACCCATCAGCTATGGCGTCCCACAAGGTTCCATTCTGGGACCAGTGCTGTTTCTGTTATACATAAACGACCTGGAGGCCAGCATAGAACATGGGAAACCTACATTCTTTGCCAATGATACTAGCATTTTTATAGCAGGAAATAGCGCTAACGAAACTCAAAGGAAAACAAATGAAACAATAAACAAAATCACAGAGTGGTTTAATAGGAATCGATTAACTATTAATAAAGAGAAAACAATAGCAATAGCCTTCCATCATCCTCAAAAACTACAACTTGAATGCCCTCCAATAAAGATTTATGACACTGTTATCAACTACACAGATCACTCAAAATTTCTGGAAGTCTGGCTAGATAAGCATCTAAGATGGACTATGCATACACAAAAGCTAGCGAACAACTTATGTAAAGTATGTTCTGGCATAAGGGTAGTTAGAAAAGTGACTGCACTAGAGACTGTCCGCACGTTATATTATGCTCATTTCCAGTCTTTGTTATCATACGGACTGATATTTTGGGGCAACTCGGTAAATGCAAAATTGATCTTTAAATTACAGAAGAGAGCTATAAGAGCTATGACCCAGGTCCCTAAAACGACTAGTTGTAAACAAATTTTCAAATCATTACATATTGTCACGTGTCTGGGCGTATGACGCGACAAATAACTTCACGCTGTATTTGGTATAGCGAATTTTATTTCACATTCGCACTTACAATCACCCAAATTACAGATTCACAATTACTGCTATCTGCAGTATCACAAATACTACACTCCAAATGCCAGAATACAACTGACTGGTTGCTGGCTAACTCGAACTAACTCGGAGGTAGCTCGAGGACTGACTCGTAGGTAGCTCCAGGACTAACTGTGAATAGCCTTCGCTGCGCCTCATGTAGCCTCGATCGGACAATACAGAAAACGGCCACGTAATAAGCACCCTTGTTGCCTGGCGCTGTGTTGCTAGTAACGCTAGCGGTAGTAACCGCTGTTACCACAGTCGTCTCTCACAACCCTGTTTACCCGTGCTGCCCTTGGTGACGTCATCGCTGTTGACTCGCTTTGCATAGCGACCAGGATGCTAGGACTCGGCTAACTTCGGCTCACTTCGGCTTCGCTCGGCACTGCTCGTGACGTCACCGCGGGGAGAGTTGCGGGGTGATTACTCGCCTATTACGCGAGCGCTACGTTACCGCTACGTGCAGCTGGGGAGGTAGGGGTCAACATGTCACACTATATTACCTCTACCATCTTTGTACATATATGAAACTCTAATATACATAAAATCCAATTCGAATGATTTCACAACCAACTCAGGTTGACACTCGTATAACACAAGGAAAAAAGATGACTTGCACATCATCCCATGTAATACAAGTCTATGCAAGAACAATTTTAACAATGTAGGACTTAAACTGCTAAATCATCTGCCACGATACATTAAAGAAATACCGGTACTATATAAGTTCAAAAACGCTCTGAAAACTTACCTACTCGATCATTGTTTTTATAAAGTGGATGAGTTTCTCTCGTGTGAGACAAACACTAATCACTTATAATCACATAATTCATGAATAATCAGTTTTGGGAATCCCTACTGCACAGTTTTCCTTTCTTTCTTCCAGCAACCAAGATAACACAGTCGGAGATGCACCTGAATGGGCTACTTTGGAGAGATCGCAGATGCGAAGAAGCTGCACCAGGATGGGAGAACAGATGTAGTGAAATGTTGCAGCGTAGCATCTACAGTGAAACATTATACCAGTGCTCAATGGGCTACCCTGGAGAGATTGCAGATACCAAGAAGCTGCACCAGGAAGGGAGAACAGATGTAACAAGATGTTGCAGTGTAGAGTCTACAGTAAACGTCATACCAATGCTATCACCAAATTCATCAATATTATCTCAAAGGCCGCGCCATAGCTTAAGCGGTTAGTCACTGGCTTGCCACCGCTGCAGTCTAGTCAAGTGGGATTTGTGATGGACAAAGTGGCGCTGGGGCAGGTTTTCCCTGAGTACTTCAGTCTGCCCTGCCAATCCTCATTCCATCAAATTCTCCATAAGCATTATCACCAGTACAGGTACAATAGGACATATGGAAGCCGACGTGCCGAGGGGACCTAATATGGATTCCACCTCACACTATATGAAATCTTAACTATTGCAATCTATTGTAAACAATTTTAAGTATTGTAATTTTATTCTCTTATTGTAATTGGCCCATGTATAGTAACTGACATGTCTTATATCATGTAACAATGATCTATAGAGACAAAATAAATGTTTTACTTTACTTTACATATCACAATAACTGATTCCCCTAAATTGTTATGCAGTAGTAGTTTACTATGAATATGACACATATTTGTTCCACCAGAAAATGTTGCTAACAGTGACATGTCATTATTTGTCATTTGTCATTTATTTATAGTTCCAAAAAATCCATAGAGGCATCTGCCTCAGATATAGAACAAGTCAATAATACAATATAACATATAAATATACATACATAATCAGACAGTCATCATCGTCAAAATTTAAATACTCAATACAACAAAACTACTGTACAACAATACATTCATATATCAAAATAACATTTAAAGTTACATACATGATTAAAAGACCGTCAGGACTCTTAATATAGTAATATAAAATCCACTTTCTTAACACATGACACACCCACATCACAGCAGTGATAGCACCCTCTTCCTGAGTATTTCATTCCATATTCCGTTGCATCCTAGCAATAGGCAACAGTGTTTACTAAATATACATGAGGTATCAATCTTTATTCCAGCAGTAGTATTCTTCAACAGTATAAAAAGAACTGGTGATAAGAAACTTCTTTAACGCCACTTTAAATCCAGGAATGTCATAAGATAATTGTTTAAGCTCTGGAGGGAGGTGGTTATAAAGTTTGATACCAGAATACCATCCACCTTTCTGAAATATCGTTAAGTTTACCACCGGAAGATGCAAGTCATGATTAAATCTGGTATTACGTGTGTGGACATCAGAGTTTGTTATATAGCAATCTCTATTCTTGACAACCAGCATAAGTAAAGATAATATATATTGAGACTGAAGTGGCAGAATATGTAACTCCTTAAATAAATTACGGCACGAATCTATATTACGTGAATTGGTAATAATTCTTATTATTCTTTTCTGTATTTGAAATATGATTTTTGCATGAGCCGAACTCCCCCAAAATATTATGCCGTAAGATATTATTGAATGAACTAGGGAAAAATAAACAGTTTTTAGGCACTCCAAGGATAAAAGAGGTTTTAATACTCTAATTATATAGGATGCCTTATTTAATTTGGGTATCATTTGGTCAATATGGGTTTGCCATGGCGGATTGTGTGGTGAGCTGTATTAACAGCGCTACAGTATTAATTACTAATAATGATGAACCGAGTGAAGTAACGTGTATTTGCTGTGCAGAGCTAGAATTGGAATTGGAAAGGACTCGAATTGAACTCAGATCAACTCAAAAAATAGTTCAGTTGCTACAGGAAGAGATACATAGTATTGAGTTAGAGGTTATGAACGGCACAGTCGGTGGACGTAAGAAAGACGGTGGAAGTGTCTTCCGTAATGAGGGATATAAATTGACACATCAAAGGCTACGACAAAGTGAAACTACAGAAGAAAAAGTTAAGTGTAATGACAATAATGTGATATATTCAAGAATGGAACAAGATAACCAGCAGGATGAGCAGCTTCCAAATTTAAGTAGTAATAGTATAAGAAACGGGCAGCCTATGGAAAATATAAGAGAAAGTAACTTTCATCCGTTAGAGAGTTGCGTGAAGAGGAAGGACCAAGGAAATCACAAGAACAGAGTGTTTCATCGTCGCCCAAGTAATATGGCATATCAATTTAAGACATACTATCAAGAGGTTAAGGATGACCTATTATGCGACCAAAGTGTAAATTATATTCCAACTATTGTTAATGGACATTTAAACTTCAATAATCTGCCTCCTGCAAGCGACAATATCACTATTAAGGAGAATCATGCTAGAAAACTAGTGATAGAATCGGAAGTGAAAATGAGTGAAAATAAAACCAAAGACATAGGGGGTCTCAAGCATAAAATATTAATTATTGGGGATAGCCATGTGAGAGGGTGTGCTGAGAGGATGTTGACTTCTATGGATGACCGTTTTGAAGTTTGTGGTGTAGTTAAGCCAGGTTCTTGCACAAACGCTTTAAATGGAACAATGAGTGATGAAGTGGACAAGTTAACTGAAAATGATTTTTTAATAATAAGTAGTGGATCTAATGACATTAGTAAGAGTGATATGAGACTGGCATTCAGGAATATTGTTAATTTTATTGAGCATGTTAGACACACCAATGTAATTCTAACAGGTGTTCCTCTTAGATATGACACTCCTGGATGCTCACAGTTAAATGATGCAATCAATCGCTTTAACAATAAGTTGAATAAATTGACCAAAATCTTTAGTCATGTATTCTTGAGTGAACCGATCAAAAATAGATTGTTATACACCAAATACGGCTCACATTTAAATACAATAGGCAAGGAAATATTTTCTAATCAGTTAGTCTCCCAGGTATTTTTATTGTTAGAAAGAGTTAAGGTTAAGCCTATAATCCTGGAATGGTACGATAAGGTTACTCAATTGGTCGTTCCATCAACTGACAAGTCCTCTTCGACACTGACTTCAACTCAGCGCAGTGTTAAACGCAATAGGAAATTACCAGTAACTAGAAATAATGATTTTTTATGGAACATTTAAATGCCTAAATTATGTTATGTGAAGAATTCTTTATTAAGACAAACAGTCTGCATATAAGGTAAAACTTATCCCTGTGACAAATTCAGCACTCTGAAATGATGGCATATGGGGAAATATAAGTACAGCTCCACACATTCTTAACCGCAGCCCTGACTGATTTACCCCACACCCCAAGGCAAAGGGGTTCCAGTTATCATTGGATACGAAGCTGGATGGGCCCCAATATCATTCAGGATGATGCAGAGAAGAGAAAAATATAACTGAACCCCAATTCTCCAGTCACCCAGCTCATAAACTAGTCTCTATAATGAGTCAGGTTGTCTCTAAGTTTGGCTACAGCAACTGAAACCAGCTATAGTAAATATGCTGGTGTGTGTACAGGTTGATGGGTCAGCTTGTCATATAAGGGTGTGTTTACTTTCCTCCTAAAGCAATTTTCTGTGTTGATGATAATGTTGTAACTTACGTTTCAACATATTCTCCAGCTGCTTGATCTTATCAGCATTTGGTTGTTCCAGATCTTGCAGAACAGTCACATGTGGAACATTCAGAGCATTACTTGTCTTGTCTGTGCCAAACAGTATCACACCAACCATATCTTGTTCAGAGCTGACTATCTTGTTGAGCATTGCAGTCTTACAGCACTGTGGGAGATAACCACTCATTACTGGACTTCAAACTGTGGTCTTCTGAGTACTGACATCATGTAGTCTTGTAGACAGACACCATAATTATGAGTGAATATGCTGCTTCCATTATCAAAGTTTAAGTATGTAGGGTAAAGGATCAAAATGGGTCATAAGGCATTCAGGCAGACACATGGGAGGGGAGAGAAGATTGAGCTCGGTTTGGAATAAGCCGCCTGCTGCTTGGTTTACTCTTCAGTCACGAAAACAGTTGAATTCATTCCTCCAACATGTCTGTAAATTTCTGACATACTATATGGAAGCACATCCAAAAGACAACATTGTAAATAAATTATAATCCTTATGTGGAAAATTACAAAAATGGTGACCGCAAAAAGCAACATTATGAGAGGGTAAGTAAAAAGAAAAGTAAAGCTATCCCTGTACCAGGCTGTGAAGGCCCATAGGGTTGTGAGACGTTGAGGGTCCCACACTATCTAGACAATCGGCTCAAAGATGGCGGTAAGGTTGTCAGCCTTACACGCTGGCCACGCTATACTCCCCAGAAAAATTATTTAATTAATTCCTGGTACTCATTTCTATTCGAGGCTGTGTAAACCCCTGGGCCCAGTGCTGGAAAAATCCAATGACCTCATCAGGACTTGAACCCGCGACCTTCCGGCTTGTAGCATAGCCCCCAACAAACTACGCTACCGCGTGCCCCCATTATGAGAGCGTGCCTTCGCTTTTCTATGTCCTACTTGTTTGGGTTTATGATAAAAAATTCACATTTTTCATGAGAATCTAGTTCTGTAAATCCTAATCGGCTTTCTCTTTTGGTACGATTCGTGTTTTGCTTTGGCAGAAATAAACAATAACCTAGGAATAGGAAACAGAAATTAATGGAATGTTTTCATCATACCTGCAGGCTTATTCGAAAGGGAGACTCGCCTGATTCACCTTCAGAAAACATGGGTTTAGTTGCATCAATTAAGAAAATTATACCATCCCTGCCACCCCACATTGGTCCTTCAACTTCCGAATCTTCTTTTTTATCATCTTCATCCTTATCCCACGGTGCTGGATCCATTATATGCAACACAAAATAATTTCGCGCAATACAAATACGTGCCCACCACTAACCGCCTTTTTTGACGAATCACTACGTGTTCAATCACGCAACATAATTAGTGATGCTTAGTTCATATGTTCGCATGTTTATGTCCACCAAGTTATGTTTCTGTGAGTGTGGTCTGCTGGGCTGACACCGTGTAGATTTGTGGACGGATATCGACGTTTCAAAGCAACATTATGCACCCATCTTCAGGATTGAATGGTGAGGAATTAGGAATACGCTTGGTCATAAGGACGGCGATATTTTGACCGTTATATGTCTAAGTCGGTTGCTTTGGATATGAAAATAAAGATATAAACAGAGTTGTGTTAAAATTCTACAAGAAAATCCTATAATTTCAATAGTACTCTCGTGTACAAATCACTTTACACTAGATAGAATAAGGCCTAAGCTAACTGTAATCCACGGATCATATACAAACTCGAATACATGGAGAACACAAATTGTATATTTCCCACAGTTGGTGAATGAAAATTGTTGAATAATTCCAATACTGCTATCGAATGAATGTGTTCAGTTGACAAAACTATTTTGTAATTATCTCTTACTCATACACAGAGAAGTAAGAGATCACGTTGTACGATTTGAACATATGAGCACATCTTTCCAGGCATTTAACCGGTGGATGCATTCGATAGCACGATTCATTTGGTAACGCGGAACACCAACTTATAAATACTGACATGTGTACCAATATGTGATGGGAGTAATAGACACGGACGTGAGGATTCAAATCGATTGATATGCTGGTAAAGTCGAGCGGTTGTGTTGGTACAGTGTAGGATGAAAGTTTCAATGCGACGTGTATGTAAGATACTGTATTATAATGAGGTGTCACGGAGTGAGGTCGTACATAATATGTCAGCATTCAGGAATATCTCATGGAAATGGTTTGTTGGTAAGAAATAAGGTTAATTACTTTGGTTATTGAATTGTTCAAACCACAGCCTGTTCTATGATTTGCTTGACAACTGGAAGTTTCCACAGGGCGAGAAGCACGTGGTCTCTATATGAGGTCTTGAAAAAATCCGTGTCTTAGAAGGCTGTGATGTACCTTGAGTTGGAAGTGGTTTGAATATGATACGTGAAAGCAGTCGAATATTTCCTCGTTCTCATTTTGTATGACGGTTTATTGCATGTATGGCAACATACGGCATCAGATATATTGGCTGAAAATATACTATGTTTATTGAGGTTATGTTGTTTCGTAGCGTGGTAGTTTATTGAAGAAGTATAAGATTTGTAAGTGTTCCTTATATATATAGTGTATACACAGACTCCTTTGCAACTAAACTGTAATTCCATGTCAGCATCCGTCTTTAGTGGCCAACGCCACTATTCAGCAGTACCTTCAATCTGTCTGAAACGTGCCCTCCTGGTGTCAAAAATGACACGATATGAACTAGAGTGTCAGCGATACCCAGAACTCAGCATGTCAAAACTGGAGGCTACTTTGAGAAAACAGTGTTTTGACTATGATGTTTTGCTGCAGCATCACAGATTACATAAAGAGTTTGAACACAGAGTCAGGACAGTACTGAATGACTGTGGAATAGAAACAAGAACTGTCAACAGGTGAGGAGTAAAATTAACTAGAGTATTTAAATTGGCTGTCTGTGACTTCATAGTTGAATTGGTATGTTGACATATCTGCTGTGTTTGTTGTGCACAGGAAATTCTGTTATTGAGAAAAAATGAAGGTTGGTCATTGATTAACTTAACAGAAATTTACTTAACTGTGATAATTATACAGTATGGTCATTGTAAAGCTTCCTTTAAAACACTGAACTTTTTGGGGGGGGAATGATCTTTACTCTTCTCCAGTCTAGTCAGGTCATGTAGATTTGAACTGCTAGCAGAGATAGTGTAGTCAGTATAGTGACTGGCTACAGGCTGGATGACTGAGGGGTCAGAGTTAGAGTCCCGGTAGGGTCAAGAATTTTCTCTTCTGCACATCATCCAGACTGGCTCTGGGGCCCACTGACCCTCCTATCCAATGGGTACTGGGGGCTCTTTCCCTGAGGGTAAAGCAGCAGGGTCGTGAAGCTAACCACTCACCTCCAACTAGTGCCGAGGTCAAGAAAATGTGGATCTATACATCCACTCCCCCAAACACCTTCATGGTGTAGTGCTTAATTAGTTAAGCACAGGGTTAGCTTCACCTTTTAGCAGAACTGACAAGCATGTAGCCTAACATATTACATATAAAAATCTTATTCATAGTACAAAAGATGCTGGAAATTCTTTCCACTGCTGTTTGCACATTAGGGACCTGTGTAGAAATTTTACATTTATATGTTAAATTTCTTTTTCAGAAATAGAGTAAAGTCAGTGATCAGACTATATATTGTCATATGGTGGGATGATTTTAATGATGAATAGGGCAAAATGTGGAAGAAGTAGTCATGGCTTATTTTAAAATCTGGACACAAGCAAGAAGGACTGCACAAATAATCAGCTACTTCAGGTTACCGGAGTGTTCAGCATATAGATGATGTAAAACACGTTGCGCATCTAATGATGCAAAAAAAAAAGGGTAAAGGTATCCCTGTAACAGGCCATGGAGGCCATAGGGTTGTGAGATGTCAAGACTCCCACATTTTCTACACAGTCGGCTCATAGATGGACAGTGAGGTTGTGAGCCTTATGCACCAGCCTCCCTTTACCCCCAGGGAGATTCCTGGTACTCATTTCTGTTAGAGGCCGAGTCAACCCCAGGGCCATAGTCTGGCTGGAAGGATTAGGTCAGTTGAAAAAAATCCACCTTATCGGGACTTGAACCAGCGACCTTCCAGCTTGTAGTATAGTGCCTGAACCAACTATGCTACCGCTTGCCCCCACCTAATGATGTAGTGCTTGTTATTTCTGCTTCACATTAATATTCAGAGCTAAGCCCAGAAACTGACTGTTTTGACTGAGATATCTTATATATTTCTGACGTATGTATATAATTCAGAGTAATTGTATACAGTGTTGTGTTTGATATGTTTACTGTCTTCCAGGAGAACTTCTCTCTTATTCCCAGTGTAAATAAATATGCTTTAGTCAGGGATGTTTAATAACCAGTCAACCTCTGTCTCACCAAAGCTGCTCCTCCACAATTGCCTCTAGTGTTCTTCGTTCCTTCAATGTGACATCCTTAAAAATTATCCTGCTATTTTATTCCCGTCTCGATCTTTGGTCTTTTTCTTGGTCATCTTCTCTTATTATTTTGTAGCCCATTGTGTTAGTCCATTTTGAATTGGAAATGGCTTCAGCAGTTTTTATATTTGCGTGGTCATAATTATGTTTAGATTTCATTCAAACATTTTAATTATCCTAACCTGTTTCTTCTGTGTTTCAAATTTATTTGTCATAAATTTGTATCTCTCATAAATTAAATACTCTTTTTTTATTTGTATGTGGTATTATCAAACTTGTTATTCCTATTATGATTGTTTTCAGTTATAATAAACTTTAGGAATGTATTCCTATTTAAGTATGTCCTACTGTATTTATTGTATAATGTAATACTGTATGCAGGTCTGAATACACACAGAGCAATATAGACTGGGCTGACATAATAATCCCAACAGGAGGTGATGGCACATACCTTATGGCAGCTAGTCAAGTAGCTGGGAATGAAAAACCAGTTGTTGGCTTGAATTCAGATCCCAGTCGATCAGAAGGCTATCTCTGCCTGCCAGTTAAATATTCTACAAATATTAGAGAGGCTATTGACAAACTCTTGAAGGTGAGTATGAACTCTGCTCCAGTGTGCTTTGATCACTTAGGCAAATACTTGCCCTGTAAGATTAAAAAACAAGTTAAAGTCTTATGCATAACCAAATAATATACATGTTTAATCTGAATAGTTAAAGGTTATATGGAAGTATTGTGTTTTTGAAGTCAGAGTTCTAATTGGGGTTCTAATGGATTTACTAATCTCTAGGCAAGTGTTACAATAGTGTTTTTGACTGTGAGATCTATGTATTAGATTCATCAGGGTCTTCTTTATTTTTTTTTTAATTTCAACACTGACACATTCTGGACTGAAATGTGATTATGAGGATGTTCAAACTGAATCTAACATAGGACATTACACCACTCCAGCACCCAGTGACTTTAACATTCATTTAATACCTTATTCATTACCATGTACAAGGGTTGAACAGAATAATGGTATCTATCCTAACCCATGAATCCAGTCAGTACCTTTATAACCTATTTATTATGATTTGTTTTAATGTTATCATTTGTGTGACAGCTGTCTCTTCCTGTAAGGTTTTCTGAATAAAATTTTATATTAATTTTGTATCCCTCCCATGCATACTAGCATCTCTTGCCAATCACACTCTGATTTACTGGGGTTTTGGACTTTTTCCATCATCCAGAATTTAGGTGATAGAGAACATGACATTTCAGAAGCTGGATCTGTTTCCATTTTCAGGTCAGAAAGGAAGACTCCTACTCAGTTGGGCCCCTTAGAAAGAGCTAATCTCAATCACTGGATTTCCAAAATGTCTTGTCCTCTATTACCTAAAATTCCGGGCGATGGAAGAAGTCCTAAACCCCAGTAATTCTGTGTGTCATCCACCATCGTCAGAACACTTTAGAATCTACATTCTAATTTATGTGGCTGTCCTAATAATATTTGGTGAAGAGTATAAATTATGAAGGTTCACATTACGCACCTTTGCCCAGCCTCCTGTCACTTCATCTCTCTCTTAGTTTCAGATATTCTCAGCAGTCTGCTGTCAAATATGCTCATTTAATGTTAGAGGCTAAGGTTTACACCCATCCAAACCAAAATGTAAAATTAATATTCTTTGTAGTTTAAGGCTGGGGCCACACAAGCGCACAAAATGTGTCCGTTGTAACAAACGTACTTTATGACAGACATTGCTGAGGACACCACACAGTTGCAGAATGCGGTGCATAGTTTTTTGTCTGCAATGGAGCCAGAAGAAAGTGTAGCATTCGCCTCTCATTTATTTCTACAACAGACATCACGATGTTCGTTACAACTGACACATTTTGTGTGGCCCCAGCCTAATCTTTAATATTTATTTGTATGTTTAGGTAGCACAGAGTAAGACAAAATGTTTTAAATTGAATGATAGTGAGGATTCTCTGAAATGCATCTGCTCTTAATTTATTTATAAATGTAATTTTTATTTCTGTCATTTCAAATTATTTAATTTTGATCACTCTTGTAATACTAGGTAAAGAGTACAAGCTCTGAAGTGCCAAATTATATAATTTTCTTAAGCCTGTTACTTCCTCTTTGTTGGGTCCAAATACTACTCCCAACATTTTATTCTTAAATGTCCTTAATAATTGAATATCAATTCTGTTGTTGATAATAAGTACTCAGTAAGTCTGCAAGACAGAGAGTTCTACATAAATTCAATGTACATTCTTGGTTTGCTGTGCTAGCTAAAAACATTATTGCAAAATTATAGAAGTAAGTTCATGGAAGAGTGTTATATACAGTTGCTATATTTAGAACTGAGTCAATTGAAGGGTATATGGTTGCTAAACTAGCCTGCAGGATAAGCCATATTCCATATTGTTTTAATCCCAATAGTGACTAAGAAGATATTTCAGTTAACATGTTGTTTTACAATTTTATGCCAACTGCTGAAAGATTTTAATGCATATTGCTTCATGTAATTGAAGATTATATCTGCAGATTGTATCACCTGCTTGAGTGAATTATCCTGACAGTAAAATGTAGACCATTTAAATTTTGTGCTATATATTTCTTTCTTTCCATTGCCCATGTAATTGATTTTTTTGGATCCAGGTGTTCTCCGTTGTGTTTAGTTCTCATTATTTTCAGTTAAAGTTTTCCTTACAGTTAGGGGACCAAGTTTGCAACAGTAGGTATTGTAAGATGAACAGAATGAGTCTGCAGTATGGGACTATAATTTCAGATTTTGGTTGGGTGTTTGTTCGATTATTTTGTTTCTGGAGGTGACCCTTCTTGAAAACAGTTTTATGAACTGTATAAAAAAGAAATGAATTAATATCGCAGACATCAGCTGTAGAAGTAACTAAAGCACATGATCACTGAAGGAGAGACAAATGAAATACAAGTTTCCCTCTTTTTATGAACACTTTGATTTTCTAATTTTTGCTAGAATGAATTGTATTAATTTGTACGTATTTTCACCTTAACATATTTCAATTTCCATACAAGTAATGACTTAAGTTCGTAAGTTCGGTGACTTTTACATGTAAAGTACATGCAGATTTCATTCTCAGTTTACAAATTTTCGCCTTATGAACATATTTCATGGAACAAATTACCTTTGCAAATCAAGAGTTACCTGTACTCACACTACATGTTAGCAGATAATGAGGTGTGTTTTATCACTGAATAACTAGGAAATGGGCAGAGTTATTTCAAATTTGACTGCACTTTACATAATTGGATGCTTTATTGCTTATGCTAACAGTTTTTATTCTGAAGAATTAGCCTGTAAGCAGTTGGGACTTGTCACTTTTTAACCTTCTTCATCTTATTTATGGTTACAGGGAGAATTTGAATGGATGTTTCGTAGCCGAATTAGAATCACATTACATGGAGAAAATCTGTGTGTCACCCCAATTAAACTGCATGAACATGGCTTGCATCCAATATACAGGTAAGCATTAACTTAACTTGGAACTTGTTAGGTCAGTCAGTCATCCTGTGGATAATTCACAGTATTGTAATTAGCCCAAATTGGAAATTTTCTAATTTCTATCAGTCCAACTTTTACAACATGAAGAACAATTGACTGGTTGTATGATATATCTACGAACACAGATTAACAAAAAATTAATCTCTTTTGAAATTAAAGTATATTTTCTGTATAAATATAGTACCTCTCCTCTTTGAGAACATGGTAGCAAGCTGTTAATCAAGCCTCTACCTCTCAAAAGACTTCAGAAATATAATTTTCCACAGAACAACAATTGTAAACTATTTTATACAGTCACCTGTGTATTAACTAGCTCAGCTGGTATAGCAGTGTGCTGTGGGCTGGATGTCTGGGGTTCGATTCCTGATAGGAGCAAGCGATTTTTCTCTGCTGCATAGAGTCCAGATCAGCTCTGGGGCCTACCCAGCCTCCTGCCCACTTTTCCCAGGGGTAAAGCAGCTGGGGTTTGAAGCTAACCATATACAGTCAACTCTCGATTATCCGGGCTAATGGTGGGGATGGAAGTCACGGTTAATCGAAAACCCGGTTAAGCCAAATTTTATTATACGGGCTGGACGACTGTGAAGGGTCGGAGTTCGAGTCCCGGTAGGGTCAAGAATTTTAACTTCTCCAAATCGTCCAGACCGGCTCTGGGGTCCATCCAACCTCCTATCCAATGGGTACCGGGGGCTCTTTCCCCGGGGGTAAAGCGGCCGGGGCGTGAAGCTGACCACTCACCTCCAACTAGTGCCGAGGTCAAGAAAATTTGGATCTATACATCCACTCCCCCACACGCCTTAATGGCGTAGGGCTTAATTCGTTGAGCAGAGGAACAACTTTACCTTTTACCTTTTAATACCTTCATAATACTATAGACCTACCTGTATTTAAATTTATTCATCCTCATTTCTATGTCATCTCATGGCCTATTTAATACTTTCTTTACATTACACTCAGTATGAATTAGTTATTTCAATCACTGTTCAACAACATCCAGCACTTTTTACGGTCACACTTAACACTTAAAATAATTTAATACTGTCTTTTGCTTTTTCGCGGCATTTTCCTTTTTACGGATATCCGTACGAAGCCTACGTAATATTAGCTTGTCACTTAATAAACTGTCCTCTTCACTCTCAAGATAGTCTAGTAAGGATTCCAAATGATTAAGCGCAGCACCATGTGATACTTTCTTACTGGCAACACTGTCCACCTCTTCCTCATTCTCACTTTCTTCCCGCTCTTCTGGCTGCACCCCCATTGAAGTTACGATTTCGTCACTGCTTAACATTTCGAAGCCCGGTTCACACGAGTCACAGTTAAACCACTCTCTTATATTTTCCTCGTTGACTTCTTCACCACCATGAACTTGGTTAGCCACTTTTGTCAATTTTATGGCTATCTCATTTTCACTGAATCCAGTGAATCCATGGATTTCGTCATCTTCATTAGTGATGAAAGGCATCAGTTTCTTCCATGAATTTTTCAATACAGATGGCTTTACTGTATCCCACGCTGTTGAAATCTCGTATATGGCATCTAATACTGAAAAGGACTTCCAGAAACACGTCAGATCATTGCCTTCATCGATGTACTTTTGTAGCAAATTTGATCTGTAGATTCTCTTCATACTTGAGATAACTCCTTGATCCATTGGTTGGATAAGTGCGGTAACATTAGCGGGAAAATATTTCACAAAAATATTTCCATCATCTGACCTCAGGAGACTTTCGTTAGGATGTGAGGGCGCATTGTCAATGAGGAGCACAGCTTTCTCAGGTAGGCCTTGGGATTTTAGATGGTCACGAACTTGAGGCACGAATTTAAAATCAAACCATTCTTTAAATATCGCTCTATTCATCCAAGCTACTTTCTGGTTAAAATAATGGATAGGCAGACTTGAAGCTACTGTTCCTTTAAAAGAGCGTGGTCTTTTCGCTTTGCCGATAACTACTGGTATTAGTTTGTGTGTTCCTGATGCATTAGAACAGCACAAGACTGTCAATCTCTCCTTACTGGATTTGTGACCTGGAGCCTGTCTTTCATTTTGAAATGCCAATGTTCTGGTTGGCAAGCATTTCCAATAAAGACCCGTTTCATCGGCATTATAGATTTGTTCTGGCAGCAGATTTTCACTTTTCACAAAACTATCAAAATTGGTGCAAAATTGATCTGATGCTGACAAGTCCCCTGACAATTTCTCACCTTGAATACTGATTTCTCGTATTCCATGACGCTGCTTGAAACGTGTTAGCCAACCGGAAGAAGCGTCAAAACTCCCTTCTAGTTCAAGTGCTTCGAAAAAATATTTAGCTTGTTTAGCACAAACTGGTCCTGTTATTGTTGTTCCCTGTGCCCTTAGTTGATTAAACCAGGTCAGCATCGCTTTGTCGAGATCATCGTATGTTGATTTCTTCATGGTTTTTCTCTTCTTCATTCCGCTTGAATTAGAAGACGAAGCAAAGGAAATTAACTCATTCTTTTGTTTTTTCAAATCACGAACAGTTTGTTCTCCAATACCGTATTGCATTGCTAATTGTTTAACTACAGCTCCTTTTTCCAGCTGATTGATAATTTCAAGTTTCTGTTGAATACTTAACACAACACGCTTCCTTTTAAACCCCGACATTTTGCTAACGCACTTGAAGATCTATATTAAGAAACTGATACTTACTTTCACAATGCACTCTCACACTGAGATGGTACCGTTAAATAACCTGGGGCGGTGTATTTGTCCTTGAAACTTTCCAAAAATTCTTGCATTCTTTCACCCCCACCCTAGAACATTGTGTTCGCATAACGGGACGAAATAATGCAGAGCTCGGTTCACACTAGTGCGAAAATAGTGTTAAACTCACCATGTGAAACAAAAGTGAATGAATATTAAACAACATATAAACTTAAAAAAAAAAGCCCCGGTTAAGCCGCAAACCGGTTAATCCGCCCCCGGATAATCGAGAGTTGACTGTACCTCCATCTAGTGTCAAGGCCAGGAATGGTGGAGCTATACCGCCAATCTCCAGTGTCTCCATGGCATGTTGATGTCTTAATTAAGCACTGGGACAGCTGTACCTTTTTATTGCTAAACCATTATATGTTTTGTTGAATTTGAAGTTCTTACGTCGGTGACTATGAAGAATACTGTCTTCTGGGATTTGGCACTGTGCAGGCTGATAAAAATTGACTGTCATTTTGATGAATGGTCCTGCCTCCATCTCTGTCTAAAGGGTCAAAGAATAAGCAAAGCAAGCAGCAAGCTGTGTCACACAGCTTCTACTGAAATATGCAGTGTCACATTGCAGGAGACAGGGCTTTCCATAATCTGTCTGGCTTCTCTGTGTATGCAGATGTCATTTTGCTTGCAACTGAACTGTTCTTGCTAATACTTGTTATCATTGTTACATACTGACAGTCACTGTAGCCACAAGAATTTCATCCAAATTGAAATAGAGCAGTTCCTCACCAACCACAGTTTTACAGACTGTAAATTTCAAGTATCAGTGGTTCTTTTTTCACATATATATATCATTGTAAAGCAGCATTCATATTACAGAAACAGATATAATAGACAACATTTTAGACATAACAAGAAGCTCTAATCAATAACCGAGAGGGTTCCAAAAAAGATGTCCATTTAACCTTCAAAGCATATAAGCAGTACTTGGGCAATTGAGAGTCTGTTGTATGAAGTTTTACCATCTTGCTAGTGATTAGTCACCACTATTACAGAAATTTACCTACTGCTGTTATTTCACATCCTCATTCCTATTCAGGATTGTGTTAAGTAACATTTTCTCAGTTGATATTTTAGAGCTATGTACAGTGATGAAACCAGTTTACAAACTATACTTCAGTATTGTGTAATTGAGGATATTTGAAACCTGAAGTGATATCTTCATGCTTTGGTTGTGTTTTGTACAGTGATTTGGAGGTGAAGGAAGAGATGTCCTTGTCATCGACGAATGTTACATCAGAAGTTGTACCAGTCCTTGCCCTTAATGAGGTAAGGTAGTTTTCTCCTCCCTTGCCAGGTTAACTGGCTATGCCCTTATTTTCATTCAGTTTTCACAACCAGAAAGTCTCTGTGTAAACTGTTTGCCAGTATCACTGGCAAGGCTTGATTATTTGAGTGAGATGGTGCACCTGCACAGTTTGGTAACATGCAATTACCAAGGAGCCAGTGTAATTTAGTCAGTATAGTGACAGGCCTAATGTTTGTGGTTCGATTCCTGGTATGGGTAAGAAATTTATTTCCCCTCCACAGTGGATGGGACATGAAGCAAACCACTCACCTCTATCTAGTGCCGAGGCCAAGAATGGTGGAGCTATACCTACACTCCCTCATACATCATCATGGTGTAGTGTTTAATTAATTAATTAATTAAGTACAGAGACAATTTTACCTTTATCTAATCAATTTCTTAGCCTTTTTGCTTACCTGATTGGAAGTTAAAAGGAGTAATACGGCTGCAGCTACACAAAATATGTTAAAGGCCACATGTCAGCAGCTGAATTATAGATTTGATGTGTGCCAAGCTGCAGTTTTAGCTTGGACAAGACCACTAATTGGTCTTAGGCTTTTCCTAATTTTCTTTAGTACCATGAGGGAGATTCTGGAATGGTATCTTATATTAGGCCATGAATGAATTACAAATAAATGGCACAGGGTAGTGAATCATGGAGGTTCAGGACTGAAGAATAATAAACATGACAACGATGATATATGCCTATATTTATTACACACTGTTCATTTTCCTTGTTCACTACTTTATGACATATCTGTTGAAGGTGTATGTGGGAGAGAGTTTATCATCCCGGGTGTCATACTTTGGGTTGAGTTTTGACAATGGTGCCTGGACAAAGGTGAAGAGTTCAGGTCTGTGTGTGAGTACAGGCACAGGTTCCACATCATGGCACCTCAGCATCAATCGCATCACAGAGCAGTCAGTGGCAGAGGTGATGAAACTTCTGGGAACCCCAAATCAGGATCCAGGTCATGTGAAGCATGTCACAGATGAGTTCAACCAGAACTTGGTGTTTAGTTGTGGTACGTCTCAGTCATAGAATATGCTTTGAGACAGGTTCCCCCAATGAATGCATTGTCACTGAGGATCATGCTTATAATTTAAATTGTTTGCTTAGCTTTAATTGAAATAGTTTAATTAAATTTATACTCTTAAGCGGGAGGCTTGCATCACTTATGGAGAAATGATAGTACAGTGAAATCCCTATGTTATGAATTTTGGGATGAATATTCCCCCCCCCCCACCACCACCACTTCAGATGGGCAATAATTTCTATGCAGAGAACTCCATTGAGCATTAAAATAGTTACTTTGATTAAACGTCTATGTATCAACTCCCTTGATGCAACAATCATTAAAATATTCACCATTTAACACTAACACAACATGTTTCAGCCACAGATGGCCATCCTTAGGTGTTTCAATGCGTCCAAACTGTTACACTGCTTTGATGCGCGCTAAAATTGCGGACTGCAGTCTGCTTATAATAGCATAAATAATTACTTAAAATTCATTAATTTTTTTTTCTATTAAAATCTTTTGTAGAATCCTATTCCACTTGTTTAAAGCTGTGTGATATTCCAGACAGTTTGTCTCAGCAGCTTGTTCTTCTGTTTGTTAGCCCGTTATTTTGCTACTTCTGCAATCTGCAATATGCCCCTTGCTTGTGCGTTGTTCCCTCTAGCAGCGTGTGGCATTGTCTTCACTTACTTCATTTACTTTGATGTCATGAATTTTGCAATATGAGTGGAGACATTTTTTCAGTAAATTATGTAACAGTATGGTAATTCTGTTTCTGAAATAGAGGATAAGCGGATGAGTTACACAGTACGCGACCTCATCTCAGCAGGTGTGTGGCCAGATCCGAAGGGTCTTGAACCTCGGGGTTTTGCCAACAAGATTGAAGTTAAGTCACGCTGTTTCGAAGGAGGAATCGTTGTAGATGGAGGTGTCTTCTTCAAGTTCAATGAAGGTACAACAGCTACATTGGAAATCCATAACTGTGATGCATTACGGACAGTAAAGTTGATTGAAACGTGAAAGATAAACAACTGAAGAATCAAGGTGTTATTATACTAAAGGAGATCTTGCAACTGCGAAGGTCAAGTTCCGGCATGAACCGTATTCATTATCATTTCTCTGATTATCTCTCCCGATTTTATCATGCTAATGATGTTAGTTGAAGAGTGCAAATTGTGAAACTTGTTACTTTGTAATTTTCTGTACACCTTTTGTGTTTTTTGTGAATTACTTAATGACACTTTAGTGTCTAAACTACATAGTCTCATACTGCTTCCTTATTGTGGAAACCAGTTACTCAGCTGGAATTGTGCAGTCCACATTCCTAACAAAAATTAATAGATGCTTGTATATGAACTTACGAAAAATGTATGTTTTGATGTACCAGTTGCTGCTGTTGTCATTTGCAACCTCCATCCCAATGACAGGACTTATCCGCAAACTGGCATTATATTGTATATATTGGAGTATATCCTTTTGTTCCTTGAAGATTTCTTTAAATGGTATCCTGTCAGTCCCTGCAATTACATGTAAAGACAGTGAGTCCTGCCTTAAAGGATCAAATAAAGTTCTATTTAGTATCAAAACAAGAGTTTATTTAGTCTTCCTGTTGAAGTATTATCTTCAGATGTGTTCTTTTATCGGAGAAAATTACAAGAGCATAAAATTATATCTGATAATGATAAAATACTAGCGTGATCTGAATGCAGACTGTGTAGTGTCTTGGAATATAAGTACTATGCTGTGTTTTTCTGTTGTGAGGAAACAGGGTCTTTCCAGACTGCATGTGTGTCTCCATATTTCCTCCGATTTTTATAGAAATGTCAATAATGTAGATACTACTTGACTAATTTTCATGGAACTAGGTATGAACATCGTGCCATTGGAGCCTGGTTCATCTTGCTGTCTGTTAAGTTTCTGCATATATGTGACATGAAGTCATAAAATCTTAATTATCACCCAGAAGAAACAGAGACACAGGTGCAAGAAATTGTATGTGAGTTAGTCCTCTACTACATATGCACTCTTCAAGGCTACACATTTTCCCCAATGATGCATTAGCTGCTGGATACCTTGATCATAGAAGGTCTCATTTTGACTGTTTAGGAAGTCCTCCACTGCAGAAATGACATCATCATCTTGGAATTGCCACGAAGTGGCTTTTTTAGCTGTGGAAAGAGGAAGGAGTCACTCGGTGCCAGGTCTGCTGAATATGGTGGATGGGGGAGAATTTCATACCCCAAACTGACAGCAAGTGTTGTCGTAGCATGAGCCAGAGCATTGTCGTGAAGAAGTCGCACACCTTTTCCCAGCATTCCACGTTGCCTTTTCTTGATTTCCTCCTGTAATTTTCTCAGAAGGTTCTGGTAGTACTAGCCAGTGATGGTGACGCCATTTTGCGCATAGTTGGTCATGATGACACCCCGCTGATCCCAGAAGACGCTCAACATCAGCTTTCCTGACAATGACTGGGATTTGGCCATTTTGGTGGTGGTGAGTCTGCATATTTCCACTGCTTGCTCATTTCCTTTGTTTCAGGGTTGTAATGATTCATCCGTCATGATCAGGTGGTCAAAAAATTCCACCTTTTTGTCTTGACACAACTGCAAAAGTTTCTTTGCAACATCCATTCATTGCTGTTTTTGAACTGGTGTCAACAATTGTGGTACCCAAATTTGCAGTGACCTTTGTCATGTGTAACTCATCATGGATGATGCTGAAAACTGACCCATGGCTAATGTGGATCTCATGAACAATAGCCTCGATAGTTATGCATCTATCGGATAGGATCAAAGCTTTCCACCTGTGCCACAATTCCTGGTTCCTCAGCAAAAGATGGTCTTCCACTTCAGGGTTCATCTTCGACGTTTGTCTCTCCACAATGAAAGAGCCTCTTCCACCTGACCACTGTGTCATATGATGGTACACCTTCCTGATACACAGCGGTCATCTGGTTGTGGATCTCCCTGGCAGACTTCCCTTGCAAATGCAGGAACTGTATCACAGCACGAGCCTCCACTTTCTTAACTGATGTCACCATTTTGCTTCTGCCCCTTCCAGTGGCTCCCTCTGTCCACTTGGCACCGCAAGATTTGACTGTTCAGCAGGCTCAGGAAATGGGCTATCTCCTATATAGAACGATATTTTGGAATTATGATTTTCTCATGGTGATAATTAAAATATTATGACTTTCCATCATATAAGGGTTTGACTGCAAAATGTTTGATGAGCTTTAAGTCAAATCATTAAAATAGAAATATACTGTTATGTATTTGTTGAACGATTATATTTTTAGTTAATAAATTAAAGTGAACACTAGTAATGTGTGTTTTTACATTACACCCAAACTATACTCCATGTAGTTTACTGCATATAAAGGATTTATGAGGATGGTTCAAGGTTGACCTGGACTTTAATTTTTCCCAGAAGTTGTCAGCACCAGAAAATGAAACTCTTTTCATGGCAGATGGTTGAAACACTGCTCTCACCTCAAGAAGACTGCCACAGTTAATGTGCCATAACGAAGAAGTTTTCTTCATAATGCTCTAAGCTAAGTGAGCTGCAAAAAGAGGCCTGGGAAAGTGTGACAGATCACTGTACTGCATTATAATGTGTGCCCACACAGCAAATTTCACAATGATGACTCTGGCATCTTTCAGCTTAGGAATCATGAAACACCCTCTTTACAGTTCAGACTTAGCTTCCATAGGTTTTCAGTTGTTTTGGCCACTGAAGGAACACCTGGGAGGGCACATATTCAACAGACCTGATGAACTTAAGCCTGGTGTCCAGAATTGGCTATGTGATCATGCTATGTCTATGCTGTTGGCATCAATGCCTTGTCACAGTGATTGCAAAAATATACCATTGTAGGGAGGCCAGTATCTTGAAAAGGAGTTGTAGTTCAATGTTTCTGATTCTAGAGTCAGTAGGCTCTATGTAATGGGTTGCCAGCCTTATTTTTTTGGTGATAGGAAACTAGAACTTTATACCATATTTACCTGAAAGGAAGACCCCCCCCCAAGCACCGCCACTAAGAAACATGCTTACATATAAAGTGTGATTTTATGCCTTAACTTCATACTGGCATATCAATAAAAATTGTGAAAGATAGCAGATATTTTGAAACATATTATACATGAAGCCAATTTCCTCTTTCTCATGTTTCCAGTCCTCATTGTTCCCAACTTTATCACCTTCACTGTAAGATCTGTTTGTGGAGATGTGCAACTTCAGGTCCATAGTTTTGTAAGTTCTTCAGACAAACTCCTTGCAGCCATGGCTAAAATATTTGCATGTACTGTATTGTAGAAAAATCAACCTGCTAAAAGTCTACAGCATTTAAAAACATACATATATTTTTTGCGCACAAATTTAAGATGACCATTTTCTAAATATAAAATACGTAAAAATAGGTTCAAACACCCCTATAACTAAAAATGACTTATCTTGGACACTGTTCATCCCATTGAGTTTTTTTTAACACAGTTCCAGGTCTGGTTGTGTCATCAGATGTAAGGGAGGGTATGGTTCCTACTTGGCTTGGCCTGTTACAAAGAGCTATGTTCACTGCATCCAGTGGACGAACTGAGTGGGAATATTTCCTTCATTACATCTGATGGGAGAAGCAGCTCCAACTCCCAATTTGTTTGAAAAATGTCAAGCTGGTGAACAATGAGCCCAAAAAGATGTTAATGTTTAATTTGTGCCTTCGTCAGAAACGTTTGGACGTAAATCCTGAGACTGAAAGGCAGATATCAGCAAAGGCTCACAGTGTGTGGTATGTATTTGGATGTGCATATTGGAAACTTTTTAATTGTGCACTTTGTCCCGCACTGTTGCACCATGGTCGCTCCTCTTGAGGATAAAAATTTTCTATTAATGTAGAAGCTTCCTTATGTATACTACAAACAAATTTTTAAGTAGATGTTGTAACTATATTTTTTCCAATGTTCTCTCATTCAATTGTTATACTAAAACTGTGGTGATATATAGTTGTCACATACGATACATCAAATATTGCTGAGAAGAATATAATATTACTTTAAAAACATACTATTCTCTCTTGAATAAAAAGTGTGATCTGCAAACATGTTCCAAAATTGCTTAATATAAGTCTATGCAAATTTTCTGGGTGAGAAGAGTACTAGTATCTTCTGGGATGTAATACCTTGGAGTGAGGTGCAAGTTCACAGGCATTTCGGAGGAAGGCATCACCTCCAGCTTGAGCGTCAAGGAGCAGGACAAACAAGCAACAATGGAAAAGTAAACAGCACCCTCCTTGCTTCTTGCTGACTGTTTGGCACGTTCTTCATGGTGGCACTGTGTCACATTCAAGAAGATGGTCAATGCTACTAGAACCTCAAATCAGTTTCCTGGTTTCCCCTGCTTGGGGAGAAGATTGTAGTGGAGCCACAAGGCCTACTCATGAATTCTGTTTCTTCTTTCACACCAACAATCAACCAAGTTTTAATGGGAATGGTATTCCAGGGAAGTGACAACATTCATTTATATTTAAGCAAATGAGGTCTGTCAATTTAAAAGCAGTTATATTAAAAATTTAAAATCACATTTCATATATTTCGAGAGTTGACATGCATACAGACATTGCAGTGGTTACAGGATCCAGATGAAATAAATGGGGATAATCTGAACAATATAAGATGTGACACCAGCAGGCATTTCAAGAGTAAAAAGAGGGAATATCTGAAAGATAAAATTGATGAACTTGCAAAGAACAGTAAGTTCAAGAACATTAGAGATTTGTATACAGGAATAAATTACTTCAAGAGGGATTTCCAACACCCAGAAGTACAAGGTGTGTCCCAAAAGTCATGAAATATATTTCTTTCCCATGCTCCTACTGGTCGGAGCACGCTGGAACCGGTTGGGTTGGGGGGGGAGGTCTTTAGCTTCACAGCGCGCCCAAGGTCAGTCTGCTCGAGCATCGGAGGTGTCAGTATCGCTGATTTAGTGCACCTGTGTTTTGTGACCACGTCACAGCGTGCGATGGCGGATGCTTTCGAACAACGTTGGGCGGTCAAGTTCTGCACAAAGCTCAACAAAAAAGCTGCCGAAACTCACGAACTGCTTAAGCAAGCCTACGGGGAGTCTGTTCTATCATATGTGCAAGTTACAAGGTGGGTGAAGAAGTTTAAGTAGAAGAAGGCGAAGATGAGCAAATCCAAAGTGAAAACAATGCTCATCGTCTTTTTCGACGCCAAGGACAGACCGTCAACGCTCCCTACTATGTGGATGTTCCAGAAAGTTTACGGAAAAGGGTCATCTGCATGCGAAAAGACATCGCCGCTAACTGGCGGCTGCATCATGACAATGCACCCAGCCACACGTTTCTGCTCGTCCCTGAGTTCCTGGCAAAGCACCACGTGGCAACGCTGCAGCAGCCACCCTACAGCCCCGACCTAGCTCCGGCCGACTTCTTTTTGTTCTCGAGGATCAAGACTGCACTCAAAGGACGCCATTTTGAAAGCATTCAGGCTATCCAAGCAGCCGTGACAACAGCTTTAAATGAGGTTCCAGTCGAGGCCTTTGAGAGGGCGTACCAGGCATGGGAGAGTCGGTGGAAGAAATATGTAGATGCTCATGGACAGTACTTTGAAGAATATTAACACTTTGTACCGATATCATCAATAAATTTAAAAAATATATATATATATATTTCATAACTTTTGGTACACACCTTGTAACTTAGTGAAGGATAAGAATGGTGATCTACTTGCAGATTCTCACAATATTTTGAATAGGTGGAAGAACTACTTCTCTCAGTTATGGAATGTACGTACATAGGGTCAGTGATGTTAGGGTGATAGAAATACATACAACTGAGCCATTAGTACCTGATCCTAGCCATTCTGAAGTTGAAATTGCTATTGCAAAATTTAAACGGTATAAATTTCCAGGTAGTGATCAAATTCCAGTAGAACTTATTCAAGCAGGAGGTGAAATATTATGTTCTCATATCCATATGCTAATTAATTCTATTTAGAATAAGGAAAAATTGCCTGATCAGTGTACCAGTTCACAAGAAGGGTGATAAAACTGACTGTAGTAATTATCGCAGGATATCGGTGCTATCAACTTCGTACAAAATTTTATCCAATATTCTACTCTCAAGGTTAAGTCCATACATAGATGAAAGTATTGGGTTCGTAAGTGTGGGTTTCAACATAACAGATCAACTACTGATCAGATATTTTGCATTAATCTTGCATTCATCAAATACTGGAGAAAAAATGGGAGTACAATGAGACAGTACATCATCTATTCATAGACTTCAAGAAAGCCTATGATTCAGTTAGGAGGGAAGTATTGTACAATATTCTGATAGAGTTTGGGATACTCATGAAACTAGTTAGGTTGATTAAAATGTGTTTAAACGAAACGTATAGTAAAGTCCGTGTAGGTAAACATTTGTCTGATAAATTTCCTATCCAGAATGGTCTAAAACAAGGAGATGCTTTATCACCACTCCTTTTCAACTTTGCTTTAGAATATGCTATTAGGAAGGTAAAAGGAAACCAGGTGGGACTGAAATTAAATGGGTCACATCAGCTGTTGGTCTATGCTGATGATGAGAATCTATAGGGTGATAATATAAATACCATAAAGAAACACATAAGCTTTAATTTATGTTAGTAAGGAGGTTGGTCTAGAAGTAAACACAAATAAAACTAAGTATATATTGCTATATTGTCACCAAAATCCAGGGCAAAAACATGACATAAAGATTGGTGTCAGATGTTTTGAAAATGTGACTAAGTTCAGAAATTTGGGAATGACGATAACAAATCAAAACCTGATTGAGGAGGAATCTAGAAGATTGAACTTGGGTAATGCTTGCTATCATTTGGTTCAGATCCTTTTGTCTTGTCGCCTGCTGTCTAAAAACATAAAAATTAGAATACACAAAACTATAATTTTGCCTGTGGTCCTGTATGAGTGTGAAACCTGGTCTCTGACTTTAAGGGAGGAACATAGACTGAGGGTGTTTGAGAACAGGGTGCTGAGGAGCATATTTGGACCGAAGAGAGACGAAGTAACAGGAGGTTGGAGAAAACTGCATAATGAGAAGCTTCATAACTTGCACTCTTCTTCAAGTATAATTAGACTGATCAAGTCAAGGAGGGTGAGATGGGCAGGGCATGTTACACAAATGGGGGAGAGGAAAAATGTATATAGGATATTGGTGGGAAAGCCGGAAAGAAGGAGACCACTGGGAAGACCAAGACATAGGAGAGTGTGCAATATTAAAATGGATCTTAGAAAAAGAGGATGGGATAGATTGGATTGATCTTGCTCAGGATGGGGGAAAGTGGGGGGCTATTGTGAACACGTACTAAACCTTCGGGTTCCATTAAATGCTGGGAAGTTCTTGAGTTGCTGCACAGCTGGCAGCTTCCCAAGAAGGGCTCAGCTCCATAAGAGAGCGAGGTTGATTGCTCTTCCAATGGTGCTTGAGTATTCATATTCATGCCTCTTAACCATTGGATTAAAATATTGCTGGGAGGCTTATTTGACTTTGAGATAGCCTATATCTATGTATTTTTAGTCAATTCTGTCCATTTTTTATTATTATTCTGTCACCAGAATGTTTACATAGTTACACTATACGTATGTCCAAAGAACTATTTGTTTCGGCCCTTTCTTGTTGACCATCAGGTAATCAGGTATATACGATATTTAGTATACCATGTACTTAATAATCTGTGATTATGCATCGATAGTTAACGTAAGTAATCTGTGATGACTGGTCTGAATCGGATTTCATTGGCTGGAGGGCCAGGAGTTTGTGACATTTGTAGTGTTGTATATATGCTGAGGTGCTCGAATGATTTTTATTCTTTTCAGAATATTCGAGTTTTTTGCATAATTTTTGTGGATTTAAAGAAGGTACGTTTTATGTGTTAAGTTGCTGAACCGTGCATAATTGTTATCTGCCACAGATTTATTTGCTTGTCCTTCAAATGTTTTCGATAGCACATTTGCCTTGGTTACAATCATTGGGGGATAAAGTATGCTAATTTCGTAAGTATGGTGATAGATGTGATTTGAGGTATCATCACGGAATTCAGTAACTAAGAAGCTCTGCCATTAAAAGTGTAAATCTGAGATCTTTTTTAATAGATGAATGATTTCTAAAGCATTGCTTTTGAATTTTTGGAGTAGGTTAACCACTGTCAAGTTGCTCTTCCTCATCTTTTGTTTGGAGCAGTTTATCGTTATATGATCAGGTGGAATGGCAGTAGAACACCAGTTATATAATACAGTGACGTCTGCGTTTGAAAATTTTCTAGAAGACGATCCCTCATCCCATCATCCATGGCAGTTTTATTGCCAGTACACTGAACAGCCCTAATCGTCCTGCGGCATGCAAAGGATTGAATCGGGGGAAGGATTTAACATTGAGATAGTTGCAGAGGTTGGGGTAATAGAAGCTGCATTCAAGAATAAGTTAGAGGAAATCTTAAATGACGAAGTACGTGGTGTATCAAAAAGTTGCCGAAATTTGAATTCTGCCCGCGAATGGTTGTGAATACATCGAAATACCGCTAGGTGTCTACCCACACACCCTTCTTGAATCAGTGTGGCAAGCGGCGTCGAGTTGAGTGGTTGGGTGTATTGTTGGTGAACATATTTCCATTGTTGTGTTTCCGTGATTTTGCGGTTTTGCGATGGCTGATCTGAGAGAGCAGCATGTCTGTATAAATTTTTGTTTCAAACTTGGGAAACCCGTTGGAGAAACGCACCAAATGTTGAAGCAAGCTTTTAGTGACAACAGTTTAGGCCAGACACAAACTTACAACTGGTATAAGCTTTTCAAAAATGGCCGAACATCGACTGATGATGATGATCGTTTGGGACGGCCGTCAACTGGCACCACACCAGAAAATGTCGCGAAAGTTAGGGATCTGATTCTGCAAGACCATCCAAGACCTCTGTAACACCGTAGGACTAAGTTATGGTACATGTCAACGAATTTTGTCAGAGGAACTGAACATGAGGAGGATTGCGGCGAAGTTTGTGCCACGACTGCTGTAAAATGAACAGAAGCAGCATCGCTTGGAAGTTTGCAGGGAACTTCAACAACAGCTTGAAGAGGATCCAAACTTTCTTTCAAAGGTTGTCACTGGCGACGAAAGTTGGGTTTATGGCTACGACCCTGAAAGTAAGCAGCAATCGTTGCAATGGAAGAGCCCTTCTCCACATTGGCCAAAAAAAAGCTCGACAAGTCAAGAGCAACATTAAGTCCATGTTGATCTTTTTTTTTATATTGATGGGATTATTTGTAAGGAGTTCGTCCGTCCTGGTCAGACAGTTAATAAAGAGTTCTGTTGCGATGTTCTAAGGCATTTGATGGAGGACATGAGGAGAAAACGTGTAGAGAAGTGGCGCATGAACATCTGGGTACTCCACCGTGAAAACGCATGACCACATACAGCTTACATTGTGCAGGAATTTTTGGCTAAAAACAAGATGGCAGTTGTTCCCCACCCACCGTCTTCGCCAGACTTAGCTCCATGCGACTTTTTCTCTTCCCCAAGATGAAAATCAAGTTGAAGGGGTGAAGATTTGATACAGTTGAGGAAACTCAAGCGGAAACGCAGATGGTACTAAACACCCTAACAAAGAAAGACTTCCAGGATGCATTTCAAAAGTGGCAGAAACGCTGAGATCGGTGTATGCGCTCCCAAGGGGACCACTTTGAAGGTGACGGTGCAGAATAAGATCCAGGCAACACGTAATAGTTTTTATTAATATATTTCGGGAACTTTTGGATAGCACCACATATTAAGTGGAGATTCCATTGGAGTGACATATCGTAAAGCTCAAATAAAATTATTCTTCATGAAGGACTGTACATTTTGAATGTACTGCAGATAAGAACAAAATTTTTCTAAGATATTAAGATATTTTACCATATACTGATGTAAATCTCTTTGATCTTCTGAGATTGTCTTTATTAGAGCTTGTTCTACATCATTCTGCTGTTACTGTAAGAAATCCATGTTTAAATGATTTTAAACAGTTTGTCTGTTTATATCTACAGCTGAAGTCTAAGAGTAGGAGACAGGAAGTATGAAACAACAAGAAGACGATCTATCGGGGTTTGACATAGATCCAGGTGAGAGAATGATGTGCAATACAGACATATACACAGAATGCTGAGTTACACAATAGATGCTCAGATACACCTTCCCAAACGGACTAGCCTGTAACGTCCGAAATGCCCCGATCGGGCCAGTGATGAGTATGGTCGTCGTGGCTAAAGTACCCCATTTTGGCCAGTCGGGCATTTAAACTCGCTAGTGGAAGCACATGCACAGTCCTAAATATTTATTTTTAAATGTAGTAATTACCAGACAGACTTGAGTAAAACCCTAATAGAGGAATTAAAATGATACTTAAGTGAACAACAGCAAAAAATAATATACATGTGAGTTATGCCCAAACTCATCCACAAGCCAATACTTTTATTGCAGATTCTGCAGATTAATATGTTAAAAATATATAGTAAAATTTGATGTACATACCTTTTTTGTTGTTATCTGCTTGATGTATATATATATAGGGTGAAATGAAACTACAGTATTCAATTTCACTCTGAATGCACAGAAAACAGATCACACACTATCTCAGCCATGATGCAGTTGTCTGTTCACGACCTTAGAAGGGTTAGTAATCTCTTGCAGCTATAATGGAAGGTCTTAACACTGAAGGGACCCCTCTAGCTTTCTGTTGAACAGCCATTCTTTCGTTCTTCTGTCCTTTAGTCAAAAGATTAAAAAATCCGAAGAGTGTAAGCAGTGCTAGCAGAAGACAAAATGATTTTATTGCTTCCATCTGTTTTATGACACCAGGGACTGCTAAAATTTGTGAAGTATTACAAACAGAAGTGAATTTATAATGCAGAACAACTCTGTGAAGAACTGGGAAACCATTTTTGCAGTACTCATCAAAATTAAAAGAAAAAAATTGAAAATAGCATATAACTCTTTGTATAAACATTTTCAAATCCTCTGTTATAATATGTGACACTATGTTGTTTGCTGATATAAACAAAGTTAATTCCATCCATTTATCGTAAAAATTAAGTTACATACAGCATTTTTAAACACAATGCTTAAAATTGTTTAAGCGCCCTAACAGGAACAGACATTTAAACGCAGAGTAGCAACGGGCATTTAAACGCGCCCTAGCAGCGGGCATTTAAATAAACCCCGACCAGCTCAAGTTTACCACTATTTCAGAAGTCCGGTGTTTAAAGGCTAATATAAGAATACAGCTGTACTTCAGTTCAGAATGTAACAGACATGTACTGTTACAAAGTAATTTACTATTAATAAACTTCCCAGTGAATTAATGAAAAATTTTTGATCAGAAATATGTTACTATTTTCTTCAGAGTGTAATATGGGGTTTAAATTCGATGGATTTGTTTATGCATGGTCTCACTCAATTAGTTATACCATTGCATATGTATGGTGTCTGTTGTTGAATTTATGTTCTAATTAATAAGTGTTTGTAAGTGGCTTCTACTTGCATTTATGTACAGTTTGATAGAACGGCCCTGGAAATTCATTGTTGCATCAGTTAATTGTACCCAAAGTTCATTTATTTAGTTATGAAGAAATTATGTTCTTTCTGGTGTATGCTTTTATGTATATCTCCGTGTACAGACTAGAGGGTGTCACAACCCAGAAGTTAATTAGTCAGTGCCATTATAATCTCATAAATTATACTGTGATAATTATAGGAGATGAAGAGTTCTGTGTTCTTGGCTCGATTGTCTTGTAGTCCGTTGAAAGTCAGCTGAAGTTTCAGAGGAGCATGTTACTTCCATCATCAGTGTCTAAGAAGAAGCCAAGCAAGAACCCTGTATGAAACAGGTGGAGGCAACATGTTCCTCTGAAATGTTGATTAACTTTCAATGGACTGCACAGTGTGATGTCCCAGAAGAAATCCTTTATCCTTTAGACTTCTCAAGCCATTACACTTCTTGATGCATGAAGAGTAGAAACGTCCATCAGTAGTGGCTGCAAAATGTAAAGACAATCTTTTGTGTTCTCATATTAAGTTTGTTGCACTAGATGGACCTTGCTACTACAGTAAGTATTTTGCTCTGCTGCTAATGTACCCCTGCCCCCCTGGTCCCCAGAACCGGTCTTTAGGATGGAGAGAAGATAAGAGTTTTTTTTTTGTGGAGTTTTGTTTAATTATGTGTTATTTAACGATTTTATATTGAACTGATACACCATTCAGAGTTGCACAAGTTAAACAGTGGTTATAAAGTGTGCAGTGATATATAGGCTGTGTATTGAAGGAAGGAGAGAGAATTTATATAAGTCATCGTTTTGAAATTCGGCTGATGAAACTTAGGAAACTGGGTAAACATATTGGGAATATATCAGGTTCAGTTTTGAATACAAAAGCATTCACAGTAATCAAATTTTCTGAGAAGAGCAAGTGGAAATATTTTAATTTGTGCGGAGAATGGAGTGGAGGACACAGCTGATTAGGTGACAGATATGTGCAAAACTGTGAGGAATTAATGTCTGTATAGAAATTATGTATTTAGTATGGCTGGAAGAAAGCAGATGATATGCAGCAAAATAGTGGGTGATATTTAGTACAGCAAACAGATTGATTTAAAAATCAAGGATATGCATTGGTTAATTGGAAGAAATTCCAAACTCTCATTAGACAACAAAATCTTACTTTACAAAACAATAATAAAACCACTTTTGGTATATGGAGTGGAAATATGGGGATGTGCTAGCAAAACCAGTATTTCCATAATCCAAAGATGTTGGTCAAAGATACTACGTTTGATTACTAACGCCCCATGGTATGTTTCCAATATAACATTCCATGAAGACCTGAAAGTGCTGCTAGTGAAGGAAGTCATAAAAGGGAAAAGCACGAGATACCTCAACAAAATAGAAGGACATGAGAATCTACTAATTCAACCATTACTGGAACCACACAGTGGAGGAAGACTAAAAAGGAATTGGCCAGCCGACCTGAGAGAGGGGTAACGAGGACTTATCTCTGGATAAGCCCTCTCCACGTCATGAAGAATACTACAGCAAATTAGCTTATAGAATCAAACGTAATTCTGATTGCTAATATTATCTAAATAAAAAAAAATATTTAGTACAGACCTCGAGTGACTATGAAGAAATTAAATTCATTTTCAGCCAGAAACCTTGTATTCCTTCAAAGAAGAAAGTACAAGAAAAAACGTTTTTTAGTGTAGGAAAATTAATATATTGATTTCGGTAATGGATGCATGTATTTTAATCACCTGATAGAAAGCAAAGAAGTAGAAGGATTTAACATACTGCCACAAATGAAAACTTTGTTGGTCCATAAATGTGTCTTTTATTATGTGACATATAGCAGTGGTGTTTGTATCTGTTTTTCAGATCTCCTGGAAGAAATGGAGACCTCTTTAGAATTCACCATAGAGCTGATAGAGCTGAAGGAGGCTGACTTGAGTCTTCTGAACAAGCCTCCGAAAGAAGCCACGGCCAGGGGCAGGAAGAGGCCATATTCAGAGTCATTTTCAACAGGTAAGAGCTTGTGGTTGTTCAGGGAAAGCATTTTGCTCTGTAGAAAAACATGTTTCCATACCTGCTTAAGAATATTTCATTAATTAAGTTAATTTTTTTATGAATTATGTATCCATCATACATCTGTAACCTACTCCGTGATACAGTTTAGTTGTCAGTGTTAAATTACATCTGAAAGTAATAATTTCAAACAAAATCTGTTAACAAAGTTATAATTTCACTTAAAGGCTTACTTTTGCTGTGAATGGCTGTGCTGGATCAGCTGGAGTAGTTGGATTCACTGACAGTATACATGTTCTGCATTCTGGCCAGCTGAATGTCTCAATCAAATAGGTAGCACTCCTGCTCTGTACCTGACAGGTTACGGGTTCACTTCTTGCTGACAATGTGTGCCATCTTGATATAGGTTATTCATGGTCTTATTCTGTTACTTGAGGCAAATCTTGGGAGAGTACCTTGAGTTAGGCCTCTAATCCAATCATTTAAAGCTACAGGTATATCATTTTTCCAATTGAAAATTACAAATAAATAACAGGTCATTCTTATTATGCTATTTTTAGTTATGGTAGTCTGGAGTTGACTGAAGCGGGAGTAACTTTCTCTGTTTGGTCCTTGAAGCTTCTTTATGGGGCCTGCACAGATCCATTTTAGTTGTAAAAGCCCACATTAAAGTGCAGACATATAGTTTAGTAGAAAAACTATTTTTTTATTACAGTTACACTTCATTAATCTGTTACGTGCTGATCGCAGTGGCTGTGCTGCCTAAAGCATGAACTGTCTGCCATTTCAAACTCTGGGATCATGGGATCGAGTCCCACTCAAGGCATGGACAGATGTCTCTGTGAGTTCAGTGTGTAAGTAGTGTCCTTGCAATGGGCTGGTTCCCCATCGAAGGAGTCCTGACTGTATAGGATTAAGAAACTGTAAAAGTGGCTAAGGTCCATGGACTGTATAGACTTAGAGAGCTAATTCAGCACTTGCCTAGAGGGACTACAGAAAACCACAAAAGCCTTATTCAGATTGATGGGTTTTTCGGGCACTTTCTGAATGCAACACTTGAGCGTTCAAGCTACCCAAACCCCATCAGTATATGCTACAAGAAAGTCTTACATGTTTATCATTAAAATGAAGCTGGCAATTGAGAAGTTGTTCGGCAGATTGACCTATAGGCAGAATTAATACTGTCTGCAACCATAATCTCACTCATCGCCATAAAGATACTATTCTATTATAGTCATGAAAGAAGAGCCTCAGAGTGAAAGACTATGGGAACCACTGTCAGTTACAGACTGTTGCATTTTTTTTTGTAGATGGTCCAGGTGTGGGGCATGAAACAGCTTTAATGGTGCCACCTGTAGACACATCAGTAAGAAAGCCTAAGGATGGAAGAAAGGTTCGACAACCACCGAGCGCCTTCATCCTCTTCGGCAGAGAATGGCGTTGCAAGTTGGCAACTGAATAGCCAGAAGAAAATAGTGCAGATATAAGTGTGCGGTAAGGCACAACATTCACTGCTATTACGAATTATTAGGACCTGTGATGGCTCACTCAGTATACCAATAGGCTACAGGCTGGATGGCTAGGGTTTGCTTCTGGACAGGGGTTACAGATTTTTCTCTGCTCCTTAGCAACCTCACTGACTTTGGGGCCCACCAGTGCCTCCTGTCCAGTGGGTACAGGGGGCCCTTTCCAGGTAGATAGTATGGCCAGTGCTTCAAGCCAACCACTCACCTCTAGTGTCAAGGTCAACTGTAGTGGAACTGTACCTCCAGCCCCCCATATGTGTTCATGGCAGTAGTGTTTAATTAAGCAAGCACAGGGACAGTGTTATTATAAATGATTTGGGTGATGAAAAGTAAATGTATTTTTGAAACTGTTACAGATTCAAAGTATTTGAAAACAGCAAGGAAATCATTAATTTAAATTCACCGTTAATCCATATCAATTGCTTGTTGAATATTCCAAAGTATAGTGTGCAGGCGAGTTATCTTGCTGCAGGTCAAGTAAGACTGGAAGGACCAAATTCCATAATGTAGTGCATAAAATATCAAACAGCGATTCTTTAATTTTATTAACATTACTTCAGGTTTCATTATAATGTTTGATTGGCAGCTGGTGAAAAATTCCATATATGACCTTAAGTAAAAGTGTTTTCTCTCTCTGTCCCAAATTATGTCCAACAGTTCAGATGCTGATACATTACAGATATTAAGCCTTCGACAAAGTTATGTAGAGACTTCCAGTATACTGTGACATGGACGGCGCAACAGGCAGTAGGGGTCACATGAACTCTGCGTTCTTGCAAGTGACGTCACATACCCCCACTCCTTCCATCATTATGCAATGCTCAGTAAACACCCCTCCCTGCTAGGCTGTGACGTCACGCAACAGGCGAGTCTGTGCAGCGACTATTGCTAGGCAATGCGTAGGTAGAAACACCTGACAGCAATACCTGATATCTGTTGCCGAGCAGCAATGTGTTCTCTATGTTGCCCATGCCGGGCCTAAATAAGAAGCAGCGACCACTGTTCAAGGGAATTCGTAGTGAGCATTGAGCCAGTTACTAGAGAGAGAGTTACTAGTATTCAGTATGAGTTGAAGTCCATTGTTATTGAGTTGTATCGAGTGAATGGCAGTGACTTCAGCAGGAGAAGTAATTGTGATACTGCCAATGGCAGTAATTGAGAAATTGTGCATTATGTATCTGTAAGAGCAAGTGTGGAATAACTTCGCTAGATCCAAAATGGTGTGAAGTTATTTGTTGCGTTTCAAACACCCAGCACGTTACAATTTGGTGTCAGAAGTGGGATTGGACTTACACACTTGACTGACAGGATTCAAACTTAGAACACGTGACAATTGGTGTCAGAATTGATTTACAAACTTGAACACGCCTCAATGAATAATTGAATTTATGAGTGCATCGAGAAATGGAATCACAGCAGATGATTGAACTCCTGCTGAAGAAAATCAGGGCTGGCCAAGAAAAGCAGACATGCTGGCAAAATTAAACGCCAACTATAAAAAGTGACGGCCGATAGGAAGGCCGACAAGAAAGAATTGGAGGCCGATAGAAAAGCCCGGTGAGAAAAGATTGCTGCAGAAACGGAAGCGATCAAAGCAAGGATGAAAGCCATGCGAGAAAATATGGGCACCAGCCACAAGGAGATGGTGGCTGAAACCAATCCAGAAAGAGACACGGAGATGATGGCCTCCTGAGATATGACGGAGGCACATCTAGAAGAAGAAGAGATGATGGCCTGCCAAGAGATGGAGGCACATCTAGAAGAAAAAGAGCCAACCTCAGTGGACAGGAAACCTGAGGCGGCCCCACAACGAGAAGTCCCCGAAGTAGACGCTGAAGTAATGCTGGTTGGAGAACCAAAGAAGAAAAGGCATGAGCACTGAAACCAGCGAAATACGAAGAAATGGACCCAGGGCAAGGATAGGTGCCGAAGAAGACTGGCCATCGCCCGCAGAAGGATGAACTGCCATGTGGAAGTGGCACGGCAGAAGAAAACCTGCAGGAAGGTGTTCTGCTGTGCAATGATGGCATGGCGCAACTTCAGGAAATCTTGGACTCAAAGAAATTGTGGACCGTGAAAAGAAGTGACCGCAGACGGAAAGAAGATTACCTGCTCTACAGGATACAGATGTAAGGGAAAAAACGAAGACGATGTCACACCAAGAAGTCCGAAAGGAGGAACGTTCAGGAAGAGACTGTGGAATGGCCTGAAATGCAACACTGGCATAACAGACCGAGGCCTGAGGCAACAACTACAAGGCAGAAATGGATTGAAGGACCTAGGCAGCAGACAGCCACGATATGTGAAGAAACGAGACCTGTGGAAGGTACAAGTGGAAAATACAGCGAATTTTGATATGAATTTCACGAAAACTACAAGACTGGAAATCGCCAAGCGAATGGTCAGATCTACTGTTGGGTTACGAAAAATAAGAAATTGGACCTTGTGGAGGGGTCAAAAAATGGAAAAAGACACTGCAAGTGGAAGAAGAGCCAGTAACATAGAAGCACCTGTCCCCCCCAGCGAGAGTGAATGAGGAGTAAACGTGATACAACAGAATGACGACTGCTGGACCATGGAGCTGCTCAGGACGAGCATGTTTGAAGAAGGAGAGTGGAGGTAGCACCCTGAAGAAAAACAGCAAAGGAAAAGGAACGGGGATGTACCATTAGGCTGTTCGGGATGAACAACCTGTAGAAGGGAGTAATGTGACATGGATGCTGCAACAGGAAGTGGGGGTCACATGAACTCTGTGTTCTTGTGAGTAACATCACATACCCCCACTCCTTCCATCATTACACAGTGCTCGGTAAACACCTCCCCACTAGGCTGTGACGTCATGCAACAGGCGAGTCCGTGCAGCGACTATTGCTAGGCAATGCATAGGTAGAAACACCTGACAACAATACCTGATATCTGTTGTCGAGCAGCAGTGTGTTCTCTGTGTTGTCTGTGCCGAGCCTAAATAAGGACCAGCGAACACTATTCAAGGGAATTCATATTGAGCATTGAGCCAGTTACTGGAGAGAGAGTTACTAGTATTCAGTATGAGTTGAAGTCCATTGTTATTGAGTTGTATCGAGTGAATGGCAGTGACTTCAGCAGGAGAAGTAATTGTGATACTGCTGATGGCAGTTATTGAGAAAGTGTGAACTATGTAACTGTAAGAGCGAATGTGGAATAAATTCGCTAAATCCAAAATGGCGTGAAGTTATTTGTCGCGTTACAAACACCCAACATGTGACAATACATACACGTATATTATTTTACCAATATTTTTCCAGCAGATCTTGAGTTATATGAAATGAGGCAGCAAAAGCAAAATCCTTTTACTTAACTATCTACAAATCTGAAGGTATGTATTTTAACGTGTCTGGAATCCAGAAGAGTTACTTCCATGGAAACGCTAGAACAGACCGTTGCATAGGAAGTAACAGTAGCGGTATTGTAACAGTATCATAACAAAAATCGTGTGTTCAGTTTTTTTTTCTTTAATTTTTGCTTCAGTCACCTCTTAAACTGATAGATATTTATAGACAGTTGCCCTCGAGATGGGCACGGAAATGCATATAGGTCTTCACATAACATTGGCATTGCATGTCAGCGCATAGTGAAAATATTATACATTGAATTAAAAGAGCCTGCCCAGTTATTTCATTGTACATATAAGGTAATTTCACAGATGGCAGGACATGACCACCACTCTTTATTTTTCCTACCCCATGTATACATTTCCCGACTTGTTTAATATGGGATATATTTCATGAAATGAAAGAAAGATACAGTTGTCCCTATGTTTAAGCACTTCACCAAAAAGATCTAAGAAAGTGTGTATATTTGCATTCTTAATAGTAACAACACATACAAAAGCATGTTCAGCTTCACCCCCATGGAAAGAGCCCTGGATAAACATTAGACAGAAGACTGGTCTGGATGTGTGGAAAAGAGAAAACCTCCTGATTCTGTTGGGAATGAAACCCTGATTCTTCAGTCGTCCAGCCCCTAACCCAGTCACTATAATGACAGAGCTCTCCCTGCTTTGATACTTATGAAAGCAGAATTATACTAACGTGTAAGTGCATGAATTGAGGTCTGTGTAGTGAAGGGTGGTCACAGAGTCTTCTTACTCTTAGAAAAAATGGGGTCACATAAAGGAGATTGTTGCGTGATTATGTTATGGAAACACTGATGGCTTCGAAGAACCACCTGAGGTTGCTTCTACGTGTGACAGTCCTGACATGGTCCAACAGTGTCCAGTGTCGTGACCCAAGATGGTGGCGGGTCGACTGAATTATGTTGGCCGAGTGGTAGCGTAATAATTCAGTGATGGTGATGGTCAGTTGGCTGCTGGAGCGGGTATTCCAACCACAAAGAGCAATTACTCACTACAGATAATAGAGGATTTATTGATTCCTTGTGTATATTACATACAAGGGCTGGTGGACGTAAGCCTGGCCAGCCTTCTTGTAGCCCCAACCCAGACAAAGTGCGCCCTCCAACTTCCCTCTTCTTCTTAAAACCTCTCTAAAAACTAAACTTGCAGCCCAATGTCTGGAGACATGAACCCTCACGCAGATCAGATTACACCAGCTGTTGGTGAAGGATAGGTCCCAGATGAAAACACTCCAGGACTCCACTAATTTATGGAATGGCAGGGGTAGATATAACATTTTTTTTTTTTTTTGAGGAAGCAGGTCAACCTCTTGACGTGCTGTAAATTTAGTAGAGGGCATGACCCAAGACATCAGACTCAAGTTCCTAAAACTAAAAAGGGTTGCAAACCTCGCAACACCTCCCCCCTTAAGATGGAAACATTTGCAAAAACAGGTGCTAATGTTTCCCGACACAAATATAGGCTATATAAACTACAAGATTACAGAAACATAAATCTACCATCTACGTTTATAAGTCTTACGCACCCCTGAGTGGGTGCTTACCATTGGTACTGGATCCAATTCTGTCATCTCA